AAAATATTCAGTATCACTAAGAAATACATATTTTTAAGACAATATTATTTAAAATTGTTTTTAAAACTTTTTAAAGCATAATCTCTGTTTCGTTATAAACAGTTACACTTGTACAATATTTATCCATAAGGAAACAAGAAGACTAATGTCTTTTGTATGAAGATAGATATGTAAGGATGTCTCACACAGTTGATTATAAGGGACCATGATGATGCAAAGAAATAATCTAAGTCAGTTTGGAAGGATGAATATGCAGCCGTTAAAATGCTCGCTTAGCTCCTAATAATTGCCTAGTTCCCTCTGTATGAAAATCAAATAAATGTAGCCCATCCTGACATTTGGCTTTTTGCTACATCATTATGACTATCTTTTAAGCACTTGTGTAGCATTTGCTTGTATTTCTTTTCCAAATTATCCTTTCAGATTTGTTTGATCTAACATTAAATTTATTTTACAATCTAGGATAGTTACCTCAAGTTTGTAGGTCGCCAGTATATGTTTATTTTTTTGAAAATTTTGTTTTAAAAAAATTCTCTGCCACAATTTTTTAGGGTCATTCAGACCATCAGAGTACAAGTCAAGAAAAAGTTCTCCCTTTGTGGTACTAGATCTGTGTACTTAAATTTTGATTTGTTTGAATTGTGAGACTGCTGTCTTTGAAGTCTGCATTCCTATTTATCATAAATTTTGTTCAGTTTTTATCCTCTAACTCCAGAATTCTCTTTAGCTTCTTTTCCTCTTTTCAAAAATACAAGTAATATAATGTTCTGGGATCTCAAAACAGAACTGAGTTGCAGAACATAATGCTTATTAAAGTACATTTAGTACATCATATTTTTATATTTCATGATAAAAAGTAAGGAAGCAAGTCATGCTTTAAAATATTATGAGCCTTGCTCTGTTAATGAGGCAGAGCTTCTGCCCTCCCCTCTTTAAAGTGTTTCATATTTCTTTTGGATACATTGAAAAAAGTATTCTTTTGTCCAGATTCACATGCATATGTTATGAGGGAAAGTACTGGGTCATTTACACTACATAGAATATGTGATTTTACTTATGACAGCTTTTTTGAAGTAAGATGAAAAAAATCATTAGTGTAGATAACATTATGTGGTTATATCATTTTTAATAAGTATTCTTAGGTAAACTAAAAGAAAAAATTAGACTTTCCTCCTCACTAAAACAAAAACTTATTTTTTTAGAAACATATTTGTAAGTAAGATGTATATAAAATGCTTCTTACCCTAAAAATCATATATGTGAATGAATTACTAATATCTTTATAAGAAAATATAAAACTTCAATTTTAGTTAGACTCTAGAGTTGACTGACTGAACTTGGTAGGATTTTGCAGTTGCCTTAATAATTTGTCAGCTGCAAAATTGGAATCTTTCTTTATTGTTTGGTATTTTTTAGGTAGAGTTCTAAAACTTCATTGAATTATCTGCTATTTAGGGATATAAAAAAAGAACTTGGTCTCATTAGAGGTGAATTTGGTCTTTTAAAATGGATGGGCACCATCTCTAATTTTAAGGTTACCGAGTAAAATACTAGGACCTTTTCCTTTTCTAAGAATAAAATTTTTCACATAGCCTTCTTCCTGACAGCTTTTCCCAGTGTTCACAGAAACTGAAGCTCAGAAAACTACTATGATGTATTCCTGTCAGTACCTAATAATTCACAGGTAGAATCCGGTCTTTGGACTTGGTGCTTGTTCTGTCAACACTGTAATCTCCAGAGACTGGTTCCCTAACTTCATCTCTGGGTCGGGGGTTCACTGTGCATGGGTAATGAGTCTTTTTGCCTTTGGTTAGCAAACCCCGGAGAACGGGAGTGTGAATTTACGATTACAGTGGCTGTCTTGATAGATGAGTTAGAGAAGCTAAAAGGAGAAGTGAACAGAGAATTGAACCATGATTTAGGACACACAGTTTTAAGGCCTGGCATTAACTGTGTTACTTCTGTAGGCTGTTGACTGACTGAAGGATCCGCAAGGCACAAACAGTGCGCCTGTCAGGAGCAACTAAATACTTTTTTTCTGTGACTCTACATAGATAGTCCTCGTAAAGTGCTTTGGAAAATACTATGTGTGGTATACACCTGAATGCTTTTATTTTGATTGATATTACTGATCCTCATATCTCTCCCTTATTTCCTAATTAAGATGAAATTTGAACTATTTGCTTTTTATTTTTTAATCTATATATTTCCGGCACATTTAAAACTGTTTTTTTGTTTTATTTTAGTGTTTACCTAAAGTTACAGTCTAATGATAACATTGTAAGCATAAAAAGTCAAAATAACACTCATATTTAGAATCATTCTTTGAGTGTTTCAAAATTGGTACAAACATTGTATGTGCTGTAATTGTGTACATGTAAATGCACTTTGCTAGTATCTGTATAGAGGGGATTGTTCTAGAAAAATAGCATTAGGTTATTCCTATTTTCTTTTCCAGTATATTCCTATTTTCTTAACTGTTAAAATGTCCATGCAAACTATATAAAATAGTAATATATAACTAAATATTGTCATATAACTGGGTATTGCACAAAGTTTTTATGGTCTCCTATCACAAAAGTTTATCTTTACTGTTAAAGTCCATTGAAAATTGTATGACTACGAGAAATATGGACTTGTGCCCGTTTTAACATTGTTGTCGTTTTTAATTTCTTTAAAATAGATGCTGCTAGTATTACACTTTTTCAATCTATCTTTCCTAGTACACAAACTTGGGTAAAAAAAATTTCCATTTTGAGAGCCTGATTCATAATACCCATTTGATTTTTACTTCACACAATGGTTTTTTCATAAACATTCTATCTATGAATTATCAGAGAGGTTAAATGATTTGCCCTACATAGTCCTGATTACTGAGAAGCAGATCCAGATTAAGAATATAAAGCTTTCCTATGCACTACTCTTTCCATGTACGCCACCTCTTACGGGCCTGCAGTTAATTCTGTTACTTGCATTAATGGGAAGTGGTAGAAGGGAAGATAATTCAAAAATTAGCTATAGTTTATGTATTTTACTCTGTAAATATGAATACTGGCATGTGTTCTGGTTAACAAAATTACTGTCTAAATTTACCTGACTTCAAAGGTAAATTAATTAAGCAGTTTGAATAATAGCTAATGCTTATATAATACTTACTAGTATGTGCCAGATACTGTTCTAGGTATTTTATATATAAGCTTAATTAATATCTGTAATAGCTGTCTTGATGATGCTGTTATTATTTGCATTTTACAGACAGACACAGAAATGTTAAGTGTTGTGCCCAGGGTCACATAACTAGTAAGTGGTAGAGCCGGGAACTGCACCAAAGCTGTGTGGTTCCAGGGTCCACACTCTTGACCATTATATGTCCCCTGACTCAATGGAAAGCAACGAGAGGAAACTGTGATGTCAATAAAGCTGTGATAATAAATTAAAAGTACATTATTCCTATAAGAAAATTCAGTATAAATTTTCCCTGATTTTAATTTTTAAATAATTCATAGTTGTGTATCTTCCCAAAGATATGGTCAATTTCAGTATTCATTGATGTGTATTAATTGGCTTTTTACTGTGCCTTGGGCACACGCTGATCTTCGTGGATCATCTCATTTAGTTGACAGGCATTCTGAGGGAAGTGTCTTGGATTGCTACAGTGTAAGCTCCGTTAGTGCAGGAGTCTGACCTGCCTTGTCAGCTGCTGTACTTCCACTTCCTAGAACAATGCTAAGATATTGGAGGTTCCCAGTAAATATTTTTGAACAAGTGAATTTTCCTTAACAGAGTTCACAACCAAGACTTAGAGACGTCTTCGTACTTGGGCATGGTTGTACGTGACGTTTGAGTACTCGTGCATAGTCGTACTTGCAGAAAGTGACAGGGTCAGGGTATAGGCTTGGATATCCGTTGTCAGAGTCCATGCTCTCGCGTGGCCTTGCCTCTCATGCAGGTGAATTTGGACTTGGTCCTGTAAGCGCTGGAGGTTTTAGAAAGGGGATTGGTGTGATAAAAGCAGTTTTAGGAATACAATCCTATCAAAGGCGTGTGGTTTAAATTAAAGAGTTGGGGGCGCCTGGGTAGTGCAGTCAGGCATCCGGCTCTCGATTTCGGCTGTGGTTATGATCTCAGGGTCTTGAGATCAAGCCCTGCTGGGGGCTCCCGAGTTCAGCGAGGAGTCTGCTTGGGCCCCTTTTTCCTTCTCTCTCTGCCCCTCTTCCCCATGAGCGTGTGCCCTCCCTCTTTTTCTCTCTCGAATCTTTTTTAAAAAATTAATTGAAAAGATGAGAATAGAGGAAAAGTCAGACCACTGCATCAGTCTAGTATTGAGACAATGAGTTTTGACTAATAGTGTATCAGAATAGAACAAAGAGCAAATTTGAGTAACATTTCCAAGGTAGAATTGAGATGTGGGGTCTTAATTTGAGAGGACACCGGAGGGAGGGGGAAGAGAGGTAGGAGATTCTGAATATACACCCCTGGTTAGAAAATAGATTGATAGAAATAGGGAAATCAGTAACTAAAACAGGGATATCAGAAGAAGTCTTTTTTACTTTAAAGGGTACATGTGATCAGTTTGATTTTATTTATTTTGGATTTAAGATGACAGCCGTAGCCAAGTAAACAAGTAATTGAAGATAATACCACTAAAGTTTGGACGAAAAGGAGAAAAAAATATTCTGCTGATGCGGGAAAATAACTATTCTCTTTCTTTTTTTATTTTAGCAGTTTCTTTTTTTTTTTCTAAGATTTTATTTATTTGACAGAGATCACGAGTAGGCAGAGAGGCAGGCAGAGAGAGGGGGAAGCAGGCTCCCCACTGAGCAGAGAGGCCTGATGCGGGGCTTGATCCCAGGACCCTGAGACCACGACCCGATTTGAAGGCAGAGGCCCAACCTGCTGAGCCACCCAAGCGCCCTATTTTAGCAGTCTCTTAATTTTAAATGTTTGGTATTAATCACTGTAGTTCATTGAGCAATTCTGCCTTTTCCCTCCTAAAATAGCCAGACCACTGAGCACATTGTTAAACTAGTGGAACAACATGGCAGTGATGTCTGGTGGACTCTTCCCCCTGAGCAACTTCTTCCTGAAGAAGTCTTATCTCAGGTAAATTTCCGTGTGCGTTTAACAGCCTGTGTGTGCACTGCATGACTTAATGACGACATGAGGATTCCTGGGAGTTAAAGAGTTGTTCTGTCATGGTGTAAAGTTAATGAATTCATTCCCTATGAATTAGGAGCCAGTGCAGTTTGAGAGTAGATGTTTCTGATTAACCGTAGAAGCTTGGTATTTCATATGGCAGTAAAGTACAAGGGTTATTCGTTATCTTATTGAGGGCCCAGATTGATTTTAACTGATTTAGTTGACTAAGCAGATACAGTTGTTAGTCTGAGAGTAGTTCCTAATGTTGGTATGTCAGGATTTTGTAGGATCTGAAGTCGAGGTAACTGATTGCTTCACATGAAAAAAATCCAAATTAGAAGATCATTTCAAGAAATGAAAACAATTTATATCTATGTTGGTAAATATGTCATTAAGTGGCCACAGTCATCTTTACGTGTGGATGAGGCAGTTGTACTGAATTGCAAAATACATAGAAATGTTTTAAGTTTCATTTTAAAATGTGAGTTTAATGCTTGTAAGCATTTGATTATTTTAAGACTTTTTTTGGTCCTTATTGTGTATATTGTGATCTTTACATAATTAAAAGGTTTTCACATTATCTTATTAGGTTGGTGGTCCTGATGCTTTGGAATATGCGCCTGGTCAGGATATTTTGGACATCTGGTTTGATAGTGGAACTTCATGGTCTTATGTTCTTCCAGGTAATTTTAAATAATAGATTATAAACCAGTCAAGTGGTTTTGAAAATACATAAAAATTACTCAGAGGCAGTCGGTAATCTAGGAATATTTTTTTCGGTATTTGGAAGAAAACCTTTTTGGTGGGGGCAGCAGGGAAGAAAATCAAAAATCTCCTGCTATGGTATAATTTTAGATCTGAAGGGCTCTTGGAGATCATTTAATCCAATGATTTCTAAGCTTTTTCTGTTTTTCCAAATGAAATTTCACATAGAACCACAATATATAAGATAGATTAAAAATGGGAATTTTCTTTCTCCCCTCAACCAGCTCATTCTCCTTGACTCACTTGGCAATCCCAAGGCACTAGTTCTGTAAAGGTTTAGAAATCACTGAAGCAGTCTGACCCCCATCATTTTTCAGAACAGGAAATGAAATTAAATTAGAGCCAAATTAGGTGATGGTCACATAGTTTAGTACAATCAGACTAGAACTCCCATACCCTGGTTTTTGGTTCTTGTTTTTCTTAATACAGCCTTGCCCTTTCACAACTCTTCCCCCTTCTGTACAGACAGCTGACTGATTTTATACTTACTTATAGTTGGGGCACACTTTTGACTCACTGCATAAAGAGAAGGGAGAGACTAGGCAGCAGTTAGAAGGGAGAAGTAGGGGCAGGTGCACATTCAAGGTTGTGTTGAAATGCTTAAGAAGATATCCTTAAGGATGCCAAGTGAACACCAGAGGTAAAACAAAGACTAAAGCTCGAAGTCACTATGAGGTTAAAGACAGGGATGAGGTAGGTGGCAGGGAAGGGGAAGTGGATCAGACACTTTCTCACACTGCCACAAAGGAACAACTTCATTGAATGAAATTAATGGTAAAAATGCACCTAAGCAGTAGACCATTATTTTCTGTCATATTTCTTTTCAAAGAAAGAAAACTGATTTGTCATTTAAACAGGTGTTGTGTTAACCTGCGTGGAAGGCTTCCAGAGCATAAACTACCTTTAAAGAGAATACACATAAGTCCAATTTTAAACCGTAGTTTCTTCTTTTTGCCTGAGATGTCCTATTCCTCCTCTTCTTCCCCTCAATCAGTCAAAAATCTTATGAGGTCAGTTAATAAGAGTTAGATTAATTAGCTTTTATTTTATCCCATTTTGTTCTGAGCTTTTTTTGTTCTTTTGCAATAAAAAATTGCCAAAAATAGGGAGAAAGAATGAAATGGTAAAGAACCCAGATACTAAATAAATTCATAGTTTGAAAAGCCATGAAAGAAAGGTGATTTTCCTTAAAAGGAGGAGAGAGGAGAGGGAGAGAAAAAGGGTTTGCTGAGAAGGATTATTGTACTTTTATTCTCAAATGCTAGTATTATTAATTCTAATAAATGATTCAATGTCTGCATATTTCCCAAAGATTTATATTGTTGCCAAATAAAATCAATTTGACTTTGAGCTTAATTTAGCTACCAGTCTTCATCAGTACCTATTCATGTTTAACAAGACGAATTTGGTGATTATAGCATACACAACTGGTTTTACTTTTCGCTGACAGGTTTTATAGCAGTGAAAGAGATATGAATGTTAACACCAGGTCAAGTACCTGTTTCATCGTGAGTTCAAGGTCAATAGTACTTAAACTGAAACTGGAACTTTCTGAAAGGGAATGACATTTTTAAACGAATCCTTTCTAAAAACATTCTTTTAACATTTATGAAAGTCATTAATTATTGCAGTGATTTTAAAATAATGTTTTTCAAAAATTTTAAGCAGATTTTATTTTTTAGAACAGTTTTAGAGGAAAGTACAGAAATCCCATACACTCTGCCTCCCCCACTGTCAGCCCGTGCTACAGAGGTACGTCTGTTACTGTTGAGGGGCCTCCACTGACAAATCATTGTCACCCAGAGTCCAGCGTTTACGTTCGAGTTCACTGCTGGGATTGTGTGTTCCGTGGGTTTTGACAACTACATAATGACGTGTATCTGCCATTATAGTATATAACTAATATATATATATATATATATATAGTATATATACAAATATAGTATACAAATTTTTAGTGCAGTCAATCTATTCTGTGATTAGTTATATACTATAGTATATATATAGTATATATAGTATATAACTAATCACAGAAAAGATTGCACTAAAAATTTGTTCCACGTTCATCCCTTCTTCCCTGCTAACCCCTAGCAACCACTGACCTTTTCACGCTCCAGAGTTGTGCCTTTTTTGGAATGTTCCATAGTTGAAGCCCTAGAGTATGTTGCTTTTCTGATTGGCTTCTTTTACTTAATAACATGCATTGATGGTTCCTTTGTGTCTTTTCCTGGCTTTATAGGTCATTTCTTTGTAGTGCGGAGTAGTATCTCATTGTTTGGATAAGCCATAACTTACCCATTCACCTAGTGAATAACTGGTGTTTTAAAATACTTATTCTACTTTATTTATGGTTTTTCTCTAAGGTTTTATTTATGTATTTCTTTGAGAGAGAACATTCTGGGGGTTGGGGGTACAGAAGGGGAGTGAAAGGAAGAGGGCAAAATCCCAAGTGCATTCCCCACTGGGCACGGAGCGGGGCCGGGGCTTCATCCCGTGACCCCTGAGATCAAGACTTGAGCCAAACCACGAGTTGGCTGCTCACTTGACTGAGCCCCACGGGGGCCCTCTGTTTTGTTTTGTTTTTTTTTTTAAGTAGAAATAACTTGAAGCAAATAGAAGAAAGATCATTTTTTGAAGGAGAAACTAAGATTTACAACTTAGATTTACAAATGACTTTTTAAAAAAGGTCACCCTTTTAAAAACATCTAAAATACTTTTAAAAAGCCTAATTTTAAAAATTAATAATTATATTTTAACATTTTTACAAATTATTTTTGGTTTAAATTATTTTCAGATGTTACATTGGTTAAGCAGGAGTTTTGACAAATATGGTTTTGTGCTGGTTCTAAAACCTGCCTTCTTAAATGCAATAATCTTGCTCAAAATTTATCAATTAAGCTCGTTAAACAAATCTACAATTACAGATTACTCAAGTTTTTTTGCTGATTTGCTTTAATAGTTTTTTTTTTTAAGATTTTTTTTTTTTTATTTATTTGACAGACAGATCACAAGTAGGCAGAGAGGCAGGCAGAGAGAGAGAGAGAGGAGGAGGAGGCAGGCTCCCTGCTGAGCCGAGAGCCCGATGTGGGACTCGATCCCAGGACCCTGAGATCATGACCTGAGCCGAAGGCAGAGGCTTTAACCACTGAGCCACCCAGGCGCCCCTAATAGTTTTTTTTTAAAATAATTGGCTTATTCTTTATTTACTGCCATGCCTAAATCATAATCTTAGAGGTTTTATTTTCTGAACAGTTTATTATTCTCTCTAAAGACAAATTTTTATAATTTTCTTAAGAGAAAAAGTTACTGTAATAGAAATACTTTTTGTCACGTGGTTAATTGTTACTCTTCCTGGAGTTTTACAACTCCTAAGTTTATTTTTACTTCCATAAGAAAGTTCTGATTTTTCTTTTACCAAAAGGTGTGGGGAGTATGGCTGGCTTAATCTTGGAGGAACATGTGACTCTTGTTCATGGAGTCATAAGTTCAAGCCCCACATTGGTAGGGTAGAGATTATTTAAATAAACAAAACTTTAAAAAAAAGATATATTCAGGGAAAAAAAAGGATAAAAGATTTAAAAATAGAGAAATAATTAGCACCATTCCTCCCCTTGTATGCTGCTATTGGGATGTAATGTGGTGCAAACTTACTGGAAAGGATTTTTGCATTAGGTCTTAAGAGCTTTGGAGTAGTTTTCAATCCTTTAACCAAAAAAATTCTATTTGAAGGCATTTCTCCTATAGAGGTAGTCAGATCTGGATGAAGAATTGTGTCTGAGGATTTATTACAGTGTTATTTTTTTTTTTACAGATTTTTTCTAACAGTACAATTTGACACAGTAGCTTATTGTCCTATGTGTAGATAAATGACTAAAACAATGTGATATATGTACAAATGACAGAATGATATGCAGCCATTCCGTCATGTTTTTGAAAAATAATTGTGGGTATGGTTTTATCTGAGAGCATGTTACATTTTAAAAGTGCAGAATAAAAAAAAAAGTGGGATGCAGGCAAATTATCTTGATAGGCTAACAAACCCATGGAAATGTTGAAGGGCACAGACAAAATACTTGAAGGAAATATGCTGAAATAAAGTATCTCTGGGTAGTGGGATGTATGTGATTTTATTTTTTTGAACTTCTCAATGTTTTCTAAATTTCTTGAAGTGAGAATATACATTTTTGTTAGAAAAAAATCATTACTAAAAATAAACTTGCTAAAATAGGAAATAGTCCCAATAATTCATTATATGAGGTTGTACAGTAATTCCAGCATTGGAATGTACAGTGTTCCAGCACGTGAGTTTGACTTTTCTTGCTATTTCTTACCATCCAAGACTAGACTTATGGTCTGGTCTTCATTTTGAAAGTTCCCATCCACTTTAATTTTTTCATTTGTTGTCAAGAGCTTTGCTACACCCGAGCTCCCCCGCTCCCCAATCCTCGCCCCAACCCACTCCATCTTTTTCCGTGGCTTCACACAGCACCTTGAAACGGTCTGGCTTGCAGAAGTTTTCTGGGACCACACCTCCTCTGCTAGGGTGGTATTTTGCTTCTTACCCAGTTTCAGCAATTCAGTGTGTGTGAGAATGAAAAGACACCGAGACTTTTACCCTTGATAAGTATTAGCTGTTTCATTGTGCTCTTATTAGTTGGCTGATGTCCTCTTGTTCTATTAGAATGTTACAACCTGTATTTCTAGCTCAGGATCAGAGACTCTATATTTTTAAAGTAGTTTAGGATAACTAATCACATTTTCACAAGTATTGTTTCATATAAGAACGGTTTGAAAAAATTACTCCTTTTGTAATTTGCCATCAGGAAACACTAGTGCTCTTTACGATCTCTGTAATAATTAACATTTACTGATTGTTTATTGTGTCCAAAGCACGTCCTCTTATGTCTTTAATCTCTGTAGCAACCTTACAAGGTAAACAGATTTTGGTGTTGTCCTCATTTTAGTGAAGAAGTGGGAACAATGGAAGGTCCAGCTGAGCCCCCACCGCTGTCTGTGCCGCGGCCGGGACTCGGAGCTGGGAGTCTGAGAACAGCGCCTGCACCGTCCTGAGATTGCTTTTGTCCTGACTCCTGTAAAGCCTTGGCAACAATCAGCTTTTTAGACATTTTAGGGCTGACAAAGGTTTTAGAGACGAAAGCCCTTGTGTTTTAGGTGTGTTAATCAAGGCTTAGGTGCAGCAGCTGTGCCAAGCGGACAGATCTGTAGTCTGACACCAGGCTGGGGGCTGGTGAGTGATCATTTCCCGAGCCCGCAGGCAGGTGTCTTTCAGAGATGAAGAGGGTTTGCTGATATTTTTCTGCTCTTTCATTATCTACTTATTTTAGGAGAAGATTTCCACCGCATTTTGTTATTAACTATCTCATTGATGGTTGCCATATCCAAAATGTGGTGACCAGTAGGAAGTGAGCGTTCTGGGTGGGAGGGGGTTTGAGATCTGGCATCATAAAGATTTAGTCACAAATCATTACAGATTAGGAGAGGAAGAGTAGGGAATAGATGTAGTGCTCTAGACATTGAGGCCAAGACATTATGTTCTTATTGCCTGTATGCATTTGTCTGGTTATGCTCTTAGACTTTCCGAGCTGCACAGACTGGCTGAGCTGTAGTTTTGCCTTGATGACGCCCCAAACAGTTATTTAACATAAAATCTGTCTCACTAGTAATCAGCTCCTAGAAGGCACTACCAGATTTCTTTACATTCCCCCCTTCCCAGTGTCTAAGTACAGTGCCTGTCGGGTAGTAAGTGCTCAGAAATGTTGAATGAATTGAACTGGCATGATTTAATTATTTTGATTTTGTCTCCTGCTTCTACCCATTTTCACATAAGGATTACACTGAATCCTTGATATTAGGACCTAAGGACAGATCTTCATTTCACAACTCAAAGGGATTATGGGGGCTTCTTAGAGTTGTGAATTTAGATTTAAAATGTGGAAATCATCTTTCCCAAAGACCTCATGTTCTTAAAAAAAAAAAAAAGTTGGGGCACCTGGGTGGCTCAGTAGGTTAAGTGTCTGACTCTTGGTTTCAGCTCAGGTCACCATCTCAGGGTTGTGAGATTGAGCCCTGCATTGGGCTCTGTGCCCAGCAGGGAGTCTGCTTGAGGTTCTCTTTCCTTCTCTTACCCCCAACTCACACACACTCTCTCTTTCTCTAAATAAATAAATAAAGTCTTAAAAAACAAACAAACATTTTACTCTGAAAAGTCACAGAATAAAGAAGTAGCACATACCCTTCATCTAGATTTTCCAAAATTAGCATTTTACTACATTTACTTTATATATTTTTCCCCTGTGTGTGTATATAAACGTTCTTCTGTACCCTTAAATGGTACTTGATGGTACTTAAATGCAGACTTGATGCTCTTTTATCCCTAAATATTTTGGTGTATATTTCCTAAAACTCAGCAGTCTCTTGTATAACCAATATGAAAATCAAAATCAGGAAATTAACCCTGATTCCATCCTGTTCCCTCCAGATCTGTTCAGCTTTCACCCAGTAATGTCCTTTATAGGAAAAGAGGAAAAAATTAAAAGGGTGCTTGAGCCAGCCTAGGGTCATTGGTGGCATTTAGTTGTCCTCTCCCTTTAGTCCCATTTTGTTCTTGTCTTTCATGTCCTTGACATTCATGAATGTACAGGCTATTTTGTAGATGGTCCCTCACTTTGCATTTATCCCTCATGATGAGATTTAACTATGCATTTTGGCAGGAATATCACAGAAGAGATAACTGTGTCCTTTTCAGTACATCCTAACAGAAGTTATATGACGACTTACTGGTGATGTTGAACTTGGATCCCTTGGAGGTGGTGTCAGCCTGTTTTCTCTCTTTCTCTCTTGTGGTTACCTCTCACCGCATCTCCCTGTAGAAATTGTTGTGTTAGAAAGTATCCTGCAGGGAGATACTTTAAGACTGGAAATACCTGTTTTCTTACCAAATTTTTACCTAGTGGTTAAGCACCCTTGATGATTCTTGACTGAAATGACTTAACAATGTTTGCCAAATGGCCTTTTATCTCAGATTATTAACTCTTGAATTAACCCTGGTTTATTGTTGAAAGCAGAAGTAGCTCTCAAGCTTGCTTATACATATGTCCCAACAAATTTGACATTTGTTTTTCTTTCGCTATATCTTTTTGAAAAGACTTGACTTTTTTAGAGCAGTTTGAGATTTATAGCAACATTAAGAGGAAGGTATAGAGATTTTCCACATTCCTCTTGCCTCCACAGACAGTTGGCCTCTCTCACTGTCCACACCCTCCAGCAGAGCGGCACGTTCGTTAACAAGACCTGAACCTGCAGACACACATCATAACCCCCCGAAGTCCACAGTTTACATTATGGTTTACTGTTGCTGTTGTCCATGTTACAGGTTTGGACAAATGGGTAAAAGGGCATGTATCTTTCATTATAGTATTGCATAGAGTATTTTCACTTATAAAATTATTAGATGCTCATTTTCATTTAGAAGATTTAACTGGAAATATTGATACTGGTAATTATTATTAATCAGTGCCCAATTTAGGTACTGTTTTAGTTGCCTGTGGTTAGGAGATCATACTCCAACACTTACTGTCTTCATCTTAATCAACGGGCAGTGAGGATAAGAGCTCAAGGGAATGCCTTCATTCAGTCTGCTCTCAGGTATAGCGTGACGTGGAAATCACGTGATTATTTTTAGTACATCGATACGTATTTATTTTCATTTTCCAATTTTAGTTGACTTTAACTTCTGTGTTTTTTAATATTTATTTTTGAGGTACTGACCAGAGAGCAGATCTGTACTTGGAAGGAAAAGACCAGCTTGGCGGTTGGTTTCAGTCTTCTTTATTAACAAGTGTGGCAACGAGGAACAAAGCACCTTTTAAGTGAGTATTAAACCTGAGCTGAACAGGTCCCCACACTCTGAGTACTGCTGCCGGGTACTCGCTTGATTGTGCTTTGCAGGTCCTGCGGTTTTTTCCGAATTGAAGGCTCCGGACTTCCGTGGAGGAAGTGGCTATGGATGTGGTGGGAACGGCGAGACGGCCAGGACCACAGTGGAGCCTGTGGATGGGACGGAACCGCGCAGTCCCGTGGTCTGACTTTCTTGGTTGAGGGGCCACGTCTCGTGCATGAACAGAGAAAGGGGCGTCGGAATCCGCTCCCGGTGAAGCGGCTGGGGAGACCGTTGGAACGACAACAAAGGATTTAGGATATTACGTTAACTTAGCTTGTGAAGCAGCAGCGGGATCCTAGAGGGTTGGCTCCAGGTTTGAACGGAGTTCTGTCCCGGATAGAGTGCTAGCAAGTACCACATGGTGCAGGCAGATTGTTCACGAAAGGCTGAGTCAGTCACTGTGGCAGACTTCGTCGTTGTCTTAAGAAATTGCCACAGGGCGTCTGGGGGGCTCAGTCGGTGAAGCATCGCCTTTGGTTCAGGTCCTGATCCCAGTGTTCTGGGATCAAGCCCCGTGCTGGGCTCCCTGTTCAGCAAGGAGCCTGCTTCTGCCACTTCCTCTACCCCTTCCCTTGTGCTCTCTCTTGTGCTCACTCTCTCAAATAAATAAAATCTAAAAAAAAAAAAAAGGCAGTTGCCGCAGTCACCCCCACTAGCAGCACCCTCTGCCCTATATGGTCAGCAGCCATCAGCCTTCCCCAGCAGAAAGATGACAACTTTTTGAAAGCTCAGGTGATAGTTAGCATTTTAGTTAGCAATAAAGTATTTCTGAATTAAGGTGTGTAGATTCTTTGTTTAGACCTAAAGCTGTTACACTCAATAGACTGCAGTATAGTGTAGACAGAACTTCCGTGTGCACTGGAAACCAAAAAATTTGTTTGAGTTGCTTTATTGCAGTGGTCTGGAGCCAAAGGTGCCATATCTCCAAGGTTGCGCCTGGATAGAAAACACCTCCTGTAGTAGCTCAGTCTCGTTTCATGAGATAGTAAGAGTTTGAAGTAAAAAAGAGAGAGAGAGACAAAGGAGACAACAATACAGAGCAGTCTTGTGACCACTATACCCTGTCATTCCCACAAGAGGTAACATCAGCATTTACTGGAACAGTGGGGACATCTGTGAAGAGCTCGATCTTAAAATATGGGAAGACTTGACCCAGAGCAATATAGAGAAGGGTACTCTACGTTGATTGAAGACACTCTGAGGTCAAATATCCTTATATTTGTAATATTCATAAGTGGTTAATGGACTGAAATGTTCGATTAGTGAATTTTATTAGATTTTATTATATTTATTAGATTATATTTATTAGATTGGGTATTCCTGTTAAGGTACCTATCATTAATTTCAGAATGGTTCTTAAATAGCTTAAGATTATTGCTGGTTCAGAATGAAAACTCACCCCAGAAAAATTTCCATGTTTGTTTCTTATAGAACATGCTTTTTCACGCCAGTAGAACAACAGCTGTATTTGTCGCAAATTGTCTTTTTGAAAATAATTTTTTTGAGATGATAATCTCTTTTTAAGACATACTTTTTCTTGGTTAGTTTTAGTGATCAAAATCAATACCTAATAGATGCGCAGGAAATATTTGTTTAGTGAAGGTAAACATGAAAAATTTTTCTTTAAGTAAAGAGCTTACTGTACAACAATCATGATAAATAAGGAGCTGAGAATTAGACTTTCAAGAAAAACATTCATAATCTGTCAGGAAAAACCCTGTTTTTTTTTGTTTTTGTTTTTCAAGATGAGATACTCTTTTTAAGCTATAAGTGATCTTCAAAGAGATCATGATAGCTGTGCTTATTATCGTAATGGCTCGTTTGTCTTCTTAGGACAGTGGTGGTTCATGGATTTACCCTTGGAGAAAAGGGAGAAAAGATGTCCAAATCTCTTGGGAATGTCATTGATCCTGATGTGGTCATCAACGGAGGACAAGTAAGTAGGTGGTTCTTTAAAACTTTTTGTTTTGGGGAGCCTGGGTGGCTCAGTCGATTAAGCATCTGCCTTTGGCTTGGGTCATGATCCCGGGGTTCTGGAATCAAGCCTCATATCAGGCTTGCTGCTCAGTGAGGAGTCTGCTTCTCCCTCCACCGCTCTTGTGTTCTCTCTCACTCTTTCTGTCTCAAATAAATAAATGAAATCTTAAAAAATAAAAACAGCTTTTTTGTTTTAACACTTTTAAATTGGCAACCAAAACCTTGATGTAGTTATTTCAGTGTAAAACAACAGCAACAAAAATATTGGCAACAGTGTCAACAGCAACATCAACAACTCTCTTTTATGCTAATAGTGGGTGCCTTACCACGTTTTAAACCTTTTTTTCTTCCAAGTTTTTATTTAAATTCTAGTTAGTTAACATGTAGTGTAACATTAGTTTCAGGAGTAGAATTTAGTGTAAATCTAGACTCTTAATGATTTTAATGAAAAAGAGAAAGACTGGGATTGTGGCCCTATTGGCTTGTTTCAGGTCTGAATCTCTAATTAGGTCCTGAACCATGCTATCCAACCCCTCCCCCCTTTAAGATGTATTTATTTTAGAGAGAGAGAGAGCATGTGTGCAAGCAGCAAGAGCAGAGGGAAGGAAAGAGAGAGAAACTCCCCACTGAGCATGGAGCCCAGCGTGGGGCTCTGTCTCATGACCCTGAGATCATGACCTGAGCCGAAATCAAGAGTTGGATGCTTAACTGACTGAGCCACCCCGGCACCCCATCCCTTCTTTTAATTGAACTTTAAACATTTGTAAACATTTATTTAAAAAACCCAAAATTTACAGTTACATGGAAATGGTGTAAGAAACAAATGAGATTGCAACTTCTTGTTTCATTATTATATTCTCAGAAATTATACACTTTAAAGCAAGTCATTAATGGACAGCAGATCTGGGGTTGCTAATAATCTGGTTTATTTTGGAGTTGCTTTCAGAAATCACTCGTCTGTTAGTTTACTCGTTTGGCTTTTTGCTGCCCTCCTAATGTCCAGTAATCATGGCTCTGTGTATGGAGTTTCCGGGGAGCGCCAGAAGGGAAGAGCAGGTCCTCTTCCCCCTCTGCCGTCATGGAGGCATCGGGCCCGCTCCGCCCCCGGCTGTAGTAGAGGGAGGACGCAGGCCCACGTCTGCGCTCGCAGCGGGACTGCAGAGCGCACTGTTTCCCAGTGTTGTTCATACGCAGCTGACTCCGAGATTGTTGGCCCTTAGCTCATTACAGTGCAGGGATATTCTGTGCCCACGTTGTGCTCACATATTTCTGAGGAGGAATACCTCTAACATTTGTTCACCTAATTAGAGGTGAAAGCCATTTATATGTCGATGCGTCTTTTTCCTCCCCCGAAAGGATCCAAACAAGGAGCCTCCATATGGTGCTGATGTCCTTCGCTGGTGGGTAGCCGAGTCCAATGTCTTCACCGAAGTGACCGTTAGTCCGTCTGTACTTAATGCTGCCAGAGATGATATTAGCAAGGTCAGAGTTGTTGTTCTTCCTATGTCTGAATAAAAGGTTGGCTAAATTACATATTTTTAAAATGAAGGACATTTTGTTTGGTATCGCAAAACAGCAACAATGAGTTTTTACACGTGAGCACTTAAAAATATCCTGTGTTTATTTGTTTAAAAATACTAATAGTGTAACACAAAAATTTTATAGACTATTATATTTTATAAAATATAGGGTAATATGAAATTACACTATTTTATATACTTTTCATGTGCTCAGTGACCTTTCACATTTATTCCATTGATCTTTATTCTTGCCTGGGAAGCAGGTGAAAATAACATTCTTATCTATATGGATGAATAAAAAAGGCCACTGAACGGTGATTTGCCTTTATAAGGTTATAAAGAAATAAAATGAGAAATCAGTCTTCATGTGTAAAGTCCAGGGGTTCCTTCTGTAATTCTGCTGTTGAAATGAGTCTCTTTTTTTTGCATTTGTAGTCTCATTTAGGAAAGTTATTGTCTTAAGAAGTATCCCATTAAGAAAGTAACATGAGTTGTATAAAAATTATAGAAAAATAAAATAACTTTTCAGTAAGAGTGGAAGGCCGCATGTATTTTTTGACTGCGCGTTTTTTCTCAACATCAATAGCTCAGAAATACACTCCGCTTTCTTCTGGGAAACGTCGCTGGCTTCAACCCAGAAACGGATTCCGTTCCCGTTAACGACATGTATGTCCTAGACCAGTACATGCTGCACTTACTGCAGGATTTAGCAAACAAGGTAAGAGCGGATTAATAAGCTCCTGGAAAACAGAAATATCGGTGCTGCTGAGTGTTGAAATTGGAGTTGCATGCCGGCGAACAGACCTCACTAGAAATAGTAACCGTAGCACTGAGAAGAGTTGTACCTGATAAATGCCACACATTCTGAGGTTGACTATAGGTATGAAGTCATAGGATTTCTTTCCTGGTTTTTCAAAAGACTCGCGGTACCCGGTGGAAATGTAGGCCCAGCCTTCCCCTAAGACCACATTTTCCTCTCAAGATGAGCTTTATGTCGTTCTCTAGCAGGAGGGAGTTAAAGTAGACCTATATCTGATCTACAGATGTACCCCTCAAAGTATAGAAATAACTAAAGCAACTATTCCTGTGTGTTTTGTAAGATATTTTTTCATTTATGTATAGAACATATAATGTGTGTTTGCTCAAAAATTGGAAATGTGGTTGCTTCCATGTACCATTAAGTCAGAGACATACCTGCAGATTTTTGCCCGATTTTACTTCGCAGGCATAAATGAGGGAAATTAGTAACTTGCACACTTTGCTCTTTTAAAATGGTGTGGTTTATGATGTTAAACCTGATCCCTTCCTTTGGTGAGTGTTCTTTTCTAGTTTCCAAAGTGGAATATTCAGTTTTTTCTGACTATAGTTGAATTTGATACCCAGAAATGTTTGAAAGATCCTGTCACTCTTGTGTATCTCCTGTTTCGTATTTTTCTGCCTTTGAAACATATTTTGTGGGGCTCCTCGGTGGCTCAGTCGGTTAAGCATCTGCCTTTGGCCCAGGTCATGGTCCCAGGGTGCTGGGATCAAGCCCTGCGTCAGGCTCCTTGCTTGGCGGGGAGCCTGCTTCTCCCTCTCCCGATCCCCCTGCTTGTGTTTCCTCTATCGCTGTGTCTCTCTCTGTCAAATAAGTAAATAAAATCTTTAAGAAAACAGTTATTGAAACATATTTTGTGAAAAGGTACATATTTTGCTCATGATGACTTGCATTTTCATTGGTTTACTGTAACTTCCAAATTTATTTTGTCTTTTGTTTCCTAGATTACTGATTCATACAAACAGTATGATTTTGGAAAAGTTGTTCGACTGTTACGAGCATTTTATACCAGAGAGCTTTCGAACTTTTATTTCAGCATAATCAAGGACCGGTACGTATGACTGAACACTGAAGTATTCTGATACTTCTCGAGCGTCTCCTTGGCAGGCAGGTGTACAGTGGTGAGCACGATGGGCGACGCCATGCAGTTAGGAAACTGGGTTCTTGAGTCAAGTGGTAAGACATACCTCATGGGATTATGAGAAGAGAATTTAAGGAACATAAGGGATGCACTTTGCGCTGCGATTGAGACAGTGAGTGCTCAGTGAGGAAGGGGTGCCAGTACCAGGTGACGGATGCAGTACGTGTTCTCAGGAGCTTGTGGATTTTGAGGAGGGGACAGATGCAGGCGCCTGGTGCCATACCACCGTCAGGTACCATCAGCGATGTGATGTGCTTTTAGAGGAAGGCCTGGCGCTCGGTCTGTGCTGATGGCAGCGAGGCCAACGGGAGGTGTCACCGCAGCCTGTGAGCACCACAAGGACCTTACGCGCCAGGACCGTAACCCCATCCTCTGCTCACACCGCTGACGTGGACGGAGGGCTCCCCTCAGCTGCCTCGCACTCCATGGCTGTGGCAGCGCTGCTGGGAGAGGCTCGGAGGGGAGAGTGGAGGAGGGGACTTAGCGGTACAGTTATGTGACCTCTGCGTAGACATGTTGTCCCCGCTGAGCACACACGGTTCCCCTTCAGGCTCTACTGCGAAAACGCGGGCGACCCCAAACGGCGCTCTTGCCAGACCGCATTAGCCGAAATTCTGGACGTCATGGTTCGTTCTGTGGCTCCCATTCTTCCTCACTTGGCTGAAGAAGTATTCCAGCACATCCCCTACGCCAAAGGTAAGGAGGCCTAATGTGTCCTCGAGAAAGACCCTGCATGAGGACTGCCACCTCCGACTTCCCCTGCGTGCAACGGGCACTTTCTCGCCTGTACTGAGCACTTTGAGGCAACACACGTCTGGGCCCTTCCGTTGTGTCTGCACTAGTTCGTCGCGCGGCAGGATGGATTTCAGAGCTGCCGGAGGCCACCCAGGAGCCCCTTCTGAAATGCAGGAGAGCTTGACTCTCCCGCAGAATCCGTGTTTCTTAAGTAACTTGTCAGTGTCTGATATGATTTAGGTTTTATTGAAACCAGGGATAGTGCCTTTTAGTGAATATTTTTATAATAGTCTTTTCCTTGGATTGTATTAAGCTTATAGAAAATTAGGAACTATAGAAATTTTTAGAAAGAGGAGGAAAAGTCACCCATAATCTAACTATCCAAATACAGCTACTGTCAATATTGGGCTATTTTTTCCCATTTTATTTTCTTCTAGGCATCCTTTTTTCCCTTGGGATCTTACTATGATACTTTATCCTTTGTTTACATTTCAAAATGTGCATATAAATGGTAAGCATTTAGAATGGCTCTGTAGTATTTACCATAAATACCAATTCTTACTTCCCATGAATAGCAAATAATGGTTAGCGCTTTCTATACAGTTTGCAATATATGTAAATTACTTTTATTTCTTTTTTTTTTTTTAAAGAACCCAAGAGTGTTTTTCGTACTGGCTGGATTAGAACAAGTTCTATCTGGAAGAAGCCTGGGTTAGAGGAAGCCATAGAGAGCACGTGTGCCATGAGAGACTCGTTTCTCGGGAGCATCCCTGGTAGAAACGCAGCCGAGTACAAGGTCACCCTTGTGATCGAGCCTGGGCTGCTTTTTGAGATCATAGAGGTGAGTAGCAGTTTGTCTCTTTGGAAGTGATGTTAGTATCCTAGAGGTTCCCCTGAAATTTGGCTTTTAAAAATCTCTGTATAAGGAGCATTTTTTTAGTTTAGAGATCTTGTAATACTGATCTTATCACGGAGTCTTTGTTTCCTCCTCCTCTATGCTTCCTTTGCCTTCTCTGAAGCATGTACTCTGTTGCTACATCCTTTGTAAGCTGGGACAGGTAAGGTGCAGCAGAGTCATGTTTGAAATGCAATCCTCAGGGCTAATTAGGTAAGTGACAGAAACTGACAACATTGTTATTACAATACACAAAAATTGAGGGTTTTGTGTTAAGTGTCTAGTTTTCTGAGAATTTTGTCCACCTGGACCAGGTTCGAAACAAATCTAAAAAAAAGATTTCCATCTTTTTCTCAGGAGATTTGAAGAAAATTCATTTGCTGCAGCAAATTATCATGTCATCTCAAAGCATTCATCCTATTTTTATTTCCAAAAGCACCATCAAGACTTTCTTCTTGCAATTGTTAGTGGTTCATTGGCCACATTGGCTTGTGGCTTAACATACTGACTCAAGATTTTTCTCTACTTCATTTTAAATTTTTTTTTAATATCTTTCTTTTTTTAAAAGAATTTTTTGTCAGAGGGACAGAGAGAGAGCAGGGGGAGTGACAGACAGAGGGAGGAGGCGGCTCCCTGCTGAGCTAGGAACCCTATGTGGGACTTGATCCCAAGACCCTGGGATCATGACCTGAGCAGACGGAGACACCACCCAGGTGTCCTGATGTTTTTCTACTTTTAATGCTGGAGAAGAGAATTGACAATGAACATATTTTAAAACTTTTACCACTATCATAGTTTTCTGAAAATGACCATCTTATTTGGTTGGTAAGCTCAGGTTAAATTTTTCATAATGTAACTAAGATTTGAGGCTCGCAGTCTGTAGATTATTGACCAGCCAGCAGATGATTTCAGTAAGAAACTCTCACTTTGAAATCTCTACGTTGGGAAGCCCCTGGGAGGCTCACGTGGTTCAGCATTCGACTCTTGATTTCGGCTCAGGTCCGTTACGCTCTCCGTCACACGACGGAGCCTGGCATTGCGCTCAGCACAGTAGGAGACCCTCTCTTTCCTGCTCACTATGCCCCTCCCCTGTGTGTACCCTCTAAATAATCTTTTAAAAAAAATGTGTAGTTGGGAGGCTTGACTCCTTTATTTTATGAGCAAAGAAGACCATTGAAACTGTGACCTAGCTACGGCTACACAGCGTAGTTCTGGGCTTTCCTCCTACATGTCCTGTGTCTTTTCACTTCATTAATTCTGAGTAATGAGTTTAAAAAAAATAACAGCTTGTTTCAATCATTTATATTGGAAAAAATTCTTCGGGATTTTAAAAAGTAATGGACTTTTCTTAGCAACTACACTACATAGCCGTCAGACGGGTCCTGGATCGCGATTTACCAGTTACGTGAATTTGTTAAAACCAGATTAATTTTCCTGTTTTTTTTTTCTTGCGTTTTTAAAAATTTTTATTTGAGAGAATGTGCAAGCAGAGGGAGAGGGGCCAAGGGGGAGAGAGAGAATCTCAAGCAGGCTCCACACTCAGCGCAAAGCCCAATGCAGGGCTGGATCCCATGGCCCCTGAGGATCCTGACCTGAGCTAAAATCAAGACTCAGCCACTTAACTGACTAAGCTACTCAAGCACCCCTTGATGTAATACACACATTCCTTAAAAAAAAAAAAAAAAAAAAAAAAAAAAAACCAACTCATTTTGAAGAGCAGAGTTACCATGAGAAGTGTGAAAGTGCGTACCGGACATTCCACTTTACTGTACTTGAGAACAGCTCTGCGCTTTAGTCCGTTGGCACCACTGGTGTGTGTGGCTAGAGCAGGTCTGTTCAGATCGTATCTTAACACGTCTGTAATGTGGGAAGCGGGACACAGGGAGAAAGCAGTCCGGGCTCGGAGGCCCACAGACCTGGGCGGGAAGCGCAGCTCCAGCACTCGCTGCTTGAGAACCGTGAGTAGTTAACTCCTCAGAGCAGGTTTCCTTGTTTGGAAAATGGGTTGAGAAACACCATGGTAATTAGAAATAACAGACATTTAGCATCTGGCATAGTGAAGTGCCCAGCATAGAGTGTATTACAGAGCACATACTATACCTGGACATTTTTAATTAAAACCTTTCATTCTGGGGGTGCCTGGGTGGCTCAGTTGGTTAAGCAGCCGACTTGACATTGGCTTGGGTTGTGATCTCAGGGTCATGGGATCGAGCCTCACATCATGCCCCCGCTCATTAGGAAATCTGCAGGAGTTTCTCTCTCCCTCTGCCCCTCCCCCAGCTCATGCACTCTAAAATTTTTTAAAAAAGAACTTTTCATTCTAATTGATCTAATAGTATTAGCTTAGGAGATAATGGCACTAAAGGGTCACTCGGTGAACACAAGAATTTGCAGCATTAATTCTTCTAACCTCAGTTTGCAGTAAACATTCGGACAGTAACTTCAGCATGCTTATTCCCAGATGCTACAAGCGGAGGAGACTTCCAGCACGTCTCAACTGAATGAACTAATGATGGCTTCCCAGACGACTTTACTGTCTCAGGAGCCACGATCAACAACGACAGATGTAATTGAGCGCAAAGGGACATTCCTAATCAATTTAGAAGGTAAGGAAGAGGGGAGAGAGCAGGCGAGGCCTGGGGAACAGAGTGCTGATCGCAAGCCATCAGCTTTGCGGGGGATTGGGTGTGTTCTAAAGGTGTGTTCTGAGAGTGTGTCTTTTCAGGGAAACTGGCCAAGTTTCTAAACCAGATCTCGGAAGTGTCCTACCTGATGATCTTGGGATCACGGGGCTCGGGAGAGGAGCATGCTTTCCCTCCCTTCCTGTGAACAGTGGTCATTGTAGGTGACGTTAGTCAACCTCACTCCTGTTGGCTTTTGTCGTCCCTCTGCTTTGGTACTCAGGATCCTGGTCCTGCCTTACCCGCCCCTCCCCAGTGTGGACTCTCAAATTCCTTATTTGCACAACCTCTTTTAAAAGATTTAGCTAATTTTCATGAAGGGTTAAGGAAGAAGTTTTATGGAACTCATTCCTGCAGTGGGCAGGAACTTTTGTCAGCCTGCTTCGTTCTCAGTGGTGGCGTGGAGGCACGGTCACGTGAACAGGGAATGACACGTGGATCCTGTGGGGATAGTGACGCTGCCTGTGTTCGTCATGGTTCTTAGGTGCCAGCAGGAGGCGGGAGGCTCATTTATGGGTATCAGTTTAAGTCGGAGGCCTGGAAGCACTGACCATGTAGTAAAGATTCTCACTCGCTTTTCAAAATGTTAATGTACTTTCTTTGTATAATGGCTAGAAAATAACTTTCTTCACTGTGTATATATATATATATATAGGCTGAAGTCTGAGAGTATTAACAGTGGAGAAGTTTTTGTTTTTGTTTATAACAAGAATTTTCTTTTTCTTTTTTTTTTTAGGAGAGGGGGTGAAACAGAGAGTGAGGTGGAGGGAGGGGGAGAGGAGAGCTTGAGAATCCTAAGCAGGCTCCAGTGGATCCCAGACTCTGAGATCCTGACCGGAGCTGAAATCAAGAGTTGGGATGCTTCACCGACTGAGCCACCCAGGTGCCCCTAAACCAAGGTTTAAGTGGGGACACTGCAGTTGTCACTGTAATTTGGTTCTTAAAATTCTTGTGTAGGGACGCCTGGGTGGCTCAGTGGGTTAAGCCTCTGCCTTCGGCTCAGGTCGTGGTCCCAGGGTGTTGGGATCGAGCCCCGTATGAGGCTCTCTGCTCAGCAGGGAACCTGCTTCCCCCTCTCTCTCTGCCTGCCTCTCTGCCTACTTGTGATCTCTGTCAAATAAATAAATAAAATCTTTAAAAAAATAAAATTCTGTGAAGCTGGAGAGGCAGTGTAATTTGTGAGAACTGTGCCTGGATGGAGAGCTAGAAGGCCTGCTCTGTGTGAGGAGACAAAGAACCCGTGACTTGGGGAACATCAGTTACCCGCTCACTCGGGGTCTCCGGTTCCCCAGCTGTCTTCAGGGGTCAGGGTGTGAGTCCGCTGTCACAGCTGTCTATGGAATGTGGCAAGTGAAGCCATGCGGACCAGCTTTCCCCAGGGGAGGGAGAAAGCGCTGAAAAAGGAACGCTGGCAAACCACCCAGAGAAGAGAGATACAAGTTGAACAGCCTGTCAGTCTCCCTGTATCTTTCTCTCACAGGCGGTGATATTCGTGAAGAGTCTTCCTATAAAGTAATTGTCACGCCCACTACCAAAGAAAAATGCCCTCGTTGTTGGAAGTACACGGCCGAGTCCCCGGATGCACTCTGCCCCCGATGCGCGGAAGTTGTCAGTGGGAAGTAAGCGCCCCCTGCTGTCGACCACTCTCTGAGCAAGGCCGCCCCAGAGCACCGGCCCTGAGTCAGAGGCGCGGTTTACCACGGGAAGGAAGAAAGCCTAGATTTAAGTAACGAGTGGAAGAGGAAGTGGTGGAGGATAAGGGTCAAGTTCAGAATTACAAGTTTTTCCTGCAGCAGATAAAAATGTATGTGTGTGTGTGTGTGTGTGTACACACACACACACGCGGGAAAATACAGATATGCAGGCGGATCTCGATAGATCGGCAACAGATTTGTTCAGAACAGAGGCACTGGGTATGTTCGACTTTAAATGTGGTTGACCAGAAAATGTTTTATATTTTATAAAGCTTCTTGACTCCATATTTAAGTTCTGTAACCTCTAAAAATAAAGGCATCTGGAAATTTACTGATACTGGTGAAGTTGTAAATATCAAGTAAAAAACACAGTCCTGAAGGAGAATGGCGGAGGTGCATTTCCCTTAGGAGACAGTGATGTCATTCTGCCTTACTAGTGAACGGCAGCCTCCTCAAAACAGCTGGGTTTCTTGTTTGCATTAGAAAGAAAATCAGGGGTGCCTGGGCAGCTCAGTGGGTTAAGGCCTCTGCCTGGCTCAGGTCATGATCTCAGGGTCCTGGGATTGAGCCCTGGCCTTGGGCTCTCTGCTCAGCAGGGAGCCTGCTTCCCCCTCTCTCTCTGCCTGCATCTCTGCCTACTTGTGATCTCTGTCAAATAAATAAATAAAATCTTAAAAAAAAAAAAAAGGATAAAGCAGAAAAAAAAAAGAATGAAAACCGAACTTGTTACTCTCATTCAAGAGGGAAAAGAAAATCTTAATACTGATATTTACGAATGTTGAAACAACATGAAAGCTGAAAATTTATTTCACTAATATACATAAGTTCACAACAATGGACACAGAAAATAGAAGTATGTACAGAATGTCACTACTTATAGTACATTACAATAGATAACAGCATGTTATAAACAATTCAGTATTGGATTAAAACCTTTCTAGGGACAGCTAATTCTATTCAGCAGAACTCTAACTTTTAGAAGCCCAACAAATTCATTCCTGTCAGGGTGAGGGAAGGTTTTCACTGTTGCTATGGAGTACTTTAAAAAGATTTGTCTCATAAATGAATGAACCACAGCAACTCGTAAGTGAACATTATATTCCATGTAAACTTAAAAATTAAATCTGTTTTCTTTGATTTTAAGTTGCAATTAACCACTTAAAGGAAAGCAATTTAAAAATGTAACAGTGCTTACTTTGACCTTAGATGAGGTTTTATAATTTGTAACAAAGGAAAAACTCTCTCCACTTCTTATTTTTTCTCTTAGCAAAAGTATGAAGCATTTAGAAGGTCGGTGCTATGTTCCTGTTCACCTACGTTTATCTGGCTCTTCTAGTTCTACATCTAAACATAACCTGTAATGTAGAAGTTACAATTATTTGAACACTTCTGTCTTTCTTCAGCATTATACAGTGAAATTTAACAAGGTACAGATGCCTGTTTAATGTTAACAAAGAAAGGTGTGGCGGGGGGTGGGAGTTCTCGCTAGGAAAACACTGTTAGTGGCTTCCCATCAGAAAGTGCAACATACCTTTGTTTCAGAAATCACCCATCCTACATACACTCTAATTCCTTTATTTGTGGCTCTTTGTTGTTACAGAATGTTTACATAGGTATTTATTTTCTTTTCTTCTCTCAAATTTATTTTAAAAGCCCTTGATGAAATCACAGAATACTTAACTGGTTTTCTTAACCATATAACTCAGAATTCAATTTTAAAATTCTTTGAATGGTAAACTTTAGGATTACAAATGTAATTACAGATTTGTAATTCAGTGATCTGTTACGGTCCCATGAACCATATTTCAGCTTATTACTATTCTCTACAATCCCCAGATCTGTGTGTCCTACGAGAATAAGTTTAAGCAGCTTTATTATCTAACGTGTTTATCAGGTACTCCCCTTCCCCCAAAAGTGATAACAGAATCAAAGTGAGGATGTAAAGTTTCTTTGACCAGCCTCCAAAATTCGTAACTACTTTCAGAGCATTTAGAAAAATCACAGGAAGAACAAATTTTTAGAATGCATGTTAACAGGTGACTAGATAAAGCTCGATAGGTTTACAAGGACTCACAGGACTGTGTCTGGACGGGCCAGCGGAGATCCCGGCAGAGGCGGAGAAGCTGGACGAGCTAAGGTCCTTTTCGGTGCTGCTACTGTACACGGCGTGAGCCTCGGTCAGACTTAGAGGCCCTCACCCAAATATCCAAGACATCTTTAAACTTTATCTTTCAAGATTTTTAAATTAAACAGTAATTAGTAAGTTTTAGACAGTTTTAGTTCTTTCAAGAACTAAAGTTCTTTAGAACTAGTTCTTTCTTTAGACTAAGTTTTAGTTCTTATTTGGGTGTGATCTTTTAGTTAAAAAGAATTTACACTAGGATATCCTCAAATGTGAGACTTTTTTCTTTATAACCTCGAGGGGCATACTCGTCAACTTTGTACAGTTACTAAGGCTGGCTTCCTACATGTAAGTGAAACAACACACTTCCCTATCACAATGAGTTACTATGAATAACAATTGTGATCCGTGACAGAGATCAGTAATTGCACTCTATGGCTACATTCCAAAGATCTACCCTAATAAAGACTTGGTATTTGTAGAGCTCAAAGCACTTTTTACAGAGTTTTGGTTAACCTGGTTTTAATCAACAAATAATTATTCAGCACTTGGACTGCTCGAGGCACTCTAGGGTACAAAATTAGTTGTATTTTATTCTCTCAACCCAGCTGTGAGGTAGGTTTGCAAAGCTGTAATATCACTAGGCCTCTCCTGTACTGTTCGCAAGAACAGATAATGTTACCATATCCCAGAAGCAGACCTTTCTAAACACTTGTAGGAAAAATAAATTGGACTTAATTTTTTTAGCATCTTTGCCCTTTTTTTTAAAACATAAATTTTACAAGATAATACATTTTTACAATGACCTGATGTGGATACAACTTTGAATCTTGGCAAAAAGTAAATCTTAACTTACATCGTAATTAATTTTGCTGTGTTGCTTGCGTCTCAGATTCTCAGTTTTGGCAAGGACAACAGGTTAAGGGTTCTAATGTTGTTCAGTGTCCCTTCTGATGAATATGAGGATCTCGAACCCGTTCCTCCTCCAAAGCAAGGTCATCGTCCTCCCGTGGTGGCAGCATAACCTCGGGGAAAGAACCTGTCCTCGTGCAGAGCTCCGGGATTTAAGCATGCCAACAAAAGCCAGTGGGGTGTTCCTCAAATTTTACTGACAGGGGACTATACATGAACACACTTAAATTTAATTATAATTAACATTTTGAGTACGAAATATAGAATCTGATAATAAGAACATAATCTGTAAATTATAACCCATTTGAAATAGCAAAGTTTACCCATAAAGCTATTTAAGTGCTTAAATTAGAAATAAACAGTAAAACATCTGTGTTAGTAATATGGTATAGTTGATATTCAGTTCTATTTTATCTTCAGTATTAACCAAAGGAGTGGAATTTAGCCAGGACTGCACTTTTAAAAAGTAGTATGTATTTGTATTTATTTTACAAAAGAAAAAAGACCTACTCCCTTCATAAAATTCCAGATCTTACTATGTAAAATTACATGCACTAATTCATGTTCTAGTCACACAATTTGGGACCATTTTCAGTAGGTAAGTGTCATAAAGAAGGAAGAGATATGGCTTCCACCGCTTCAATGAGGTGTAAGGCTAAACTGTACTGCCCATGGTTTTCTGGTAAAAGCTCAATGACTTTATTTACTAGTTTAGCTGTCGTTGCAATTGGCACTTCTGTGTTTTGAAGATCCTGGGGGTTCTGCAAATGGGACACAAAAATAACCGATCAGTTATACACAACAGTAATTGTTACTCACTTAAGATTTGTCAGGATAGGGCCACCTGGGTGGCTCAGTGGGTTAAAGCCTCTGCCTTCGGCTTAGGTCATGGTCTCGGGGTCCTGGAATCGAGCCCCACATCGGGCTCTCTGCTCAGCGGGGAGCCTGCTTCCCCCTCTCTCTGCCTGCCTCTCTGCCTACTTGTGATCTCTGTCTGTCAAATAAATAAACAAAATCTTAAAAAAAAAAAGAGATTTGTCAGGATAGTCATTTCCCAGTAAGAATTCTTCAGAATGAACTTAAACTCCTAATTTGAATGTTCTCCTTACCTGTCATTAAATATGCCTGTAAGAAAGCATCCGGTGACCCGATGATCTCAGGCTCTCGTACTTACCATGGCTCTCAGCCAAGTGCAGAGCGTGGGCGGAAGTCTGGCCAGTAGCTCCATTCCTTCTCTAGTCTGGGCGTGGAGGAGCGCGTGAGCCAGTCTCTGCCCTGTTAACACCAGCAGCTGCGAGGCAAGGACCTCCTTGTCCTGAACCTGGAGAATGGCCTGAGGACATGAACATGGACAAGTGTATACAGAGTGAGAGCTGACACGTGTACTCAGTCTAGGAAAGGCTTTGCCAGTGAAGAGATTCTGGTTCGTTTTTAAGCTGTGGCCGTGTGTACAACCAAAAAAAGTCCAAAACAAATTTAGCATTCAAAATTCAAAGTTCTGCTCACCACCTAATTTTTCTTATCCCCTAGTTTTTCGATTCAATAGGACTCTAAGAGTCACTTTTTGTTTCTGGCAAAGGGAATTAAATCACATCATGACCGCTTCAAACCTAGTGGCTTCTGAATGCAGGAATGACCGTATGCTAGGAGACGTGGGATCTGGCTCCCGCCCACCTCCCCGCCTCCTCTCGGACTTCCTCGCTGCTCACTCCCTATTATGCGGGGACCACACTCTGGCCCTCCAGCCCTGGACCTTGTACTTCTCATCATTTCAGCCTCAAGCACTGCTGCCCCGGTTTCCTGTGTGACTGGCTGCATCTTATCCTTGGGGACTCAGTTCCCCTATCCCTCTAACCACCGTAGTGCAGTAGCTCCCATTTATTCATGGGAATCTGTTTTTCTTCACAGTGTCTGTCACTCAGTATGAAAGTGAGCGCGCCCGCGGGCGCCTGGCTGGCTCAGTCAGTTGGGCGTCCGACTCTCGATTTCGGCTCAGGTCAGGATCTCAGGGTTGTGAGATCGAGCCCCGCATTCAGCTCTGTGCTGGGGACAGAGCCTGCTTAAGTTTCTCTCTCTCCCTCTCCCTTTGCCCTCCATCTACCTCCCCATGCTTGCATGATCAAATAAATAAATAAATAAATAAAATTAAAATTAAAATAAATTCAGCAAGCTTTTCTGCTCCTACCAGCAGACCATCAATTCCATGAGGAGGGAATCCTGTCTGTTTTGGGTACCATGATGCCCCTCTGGATAGAACAGGCCTGGCACTGTAGGAGTTTATTAAATACAGACCAGAAACAGGAATTTGATTACAGTTTTAGATTTTAACATTCTGTTGTTTCTGTGCCTAGAAGTCCTAACAAAAGGAAAAACAAAAAGCTTTATTGGAGACTTTATGGACTCTCTACTCCCAACTGTAATTGTGTGGCTTGACCCCCCACCTCACACTCACAGGCGACATTACCTCTTCTCCCAAGTGGTCCGCTCCGTAGTTGTAGAGCTCCCCCACGTAATGCCTTCGAACCACATCTTCACTAACTTGAAGGTGATGAGCCAAATCCACAGCTAGCACTGGCCAGTCTTGGTCTTTCCCAAAAGGAGTGGTCGGTGCCTCTTCTATGGACTCTCGGTCTTTCATGACTGAGTGCTGGGCCTGGACGGCCGCGCTAACGACTTTCAGTAAGAACTTGCCAATGGAGAAGGACAGCACCGTCACTACTCATCATTAAAAGAGGTCTAAATCACAGTAATGGGCTTTCCTGTCAATGAGGGTGGCTTTTCCATTGAAATTAATTATCAAAAAGGAAAATACAGTTGAAAGGAAAATTAGCTTTCAAGAATAAATGTCATCCTTTAAGGCCAGCTAAATTTTTGATTTACTATTTTCTTCTGAGAGACAGAAATAAAATCCAATTAACTATAATTTACCTGTTGTCGTACAGAAATAAAATTTGGATCCATTTCCCCACTAGGTAATAACTGAATCGAAGTTAGGTCTTTGAAGAATGCATTTTTCCCCTAAAGAGAAAGAAAAGACCAAGAAAACGGGTAAGTATGGATTATTTTTTTTTAAAGATTTTATTTATTTGACACAGAGAGAGATCACAAGTAGGCAGAGAGGCAGGCAGAGAGAGAGAGGGAAGCAGGCTCCCTGCCGAGCAGAGAGCCCGATGCAGGGCTCGATCCCAGGACCCTGAGATCATGACCTGAGCTGAAGGCAGAGGCTTTAACCCACTGAGCCACCCAGACGCCCCCATTTTAACTTCATCAACAGCGCTCCAGTATGTGCTGGGCAGCCTTTGAGGCATGATCCCCTCCTCCTGGTACACATGCCCTGCGTCACCCCCTTCCCTTGAGAGGACAGAAGGACCACAGCTCCTGCCCTGGGTGCTCCTAGGCGCTGTCACAGGCCCGGAGGGAAGCCAGCTGCCAGGCCGGGACCTGTGTTTTGGGGAAGTGCGTGTGGCGAGAACAGCCTCCCCGCGATCATGTAAGCGTCCAAGTGGACCCCCGTACGTCCCCGGTGTGGGCTGACATGGGACGGCAGCCCCGGCCTAAACCCGAACTGCAGACTCTGCGCCAAAGGCACCTGAGTAAGGCAGGACCCGAACTCCCGACCCACAAAATGTTTTCAGCCACTAAATTTCGAGGGAATTTGTTACGCGGTCCTAGATAACTAAGACCCAGTGTGTACTCCGCACCCGCCTGAGAACAACTTGTTCAACTGTCTACGGGAACAGATGTGTATCTGTGGAGCCAAAGCAGAACTGCAGAAGCTCTTGCAAGGACACGGAGTAGAGAGCGAAGAGCCCCGGGCCCAGGAGGCTGGAGAGGCCCCTGCTCTTGTGCCCCGCACTTCCCGGCAGGCCGTCCGGGTTTAGGGACGACCCCACTGTCCCGCGCTGCCGGGTTTTCCCCTGCAGTCACCCCAGGTACCTTCTAATGGGCTTTCTAGACCAGCCATCGTGGGCTGTAGGTCAGCTGGTGTGAGCGCCAGTCAGGTGAAGCTCCTCACCCCGTCGTGAGGGCAGACTGGACATCCCCGACGGCGAGTTTTTCCACAGGGGGCGCCTGGGGGCCTCAGTGGGTTAAGCCTCTGCCTTCCGCTCAGGTCATGATCCCAGGGTCCTGGGCTCGAGCCCTGCGTCGGGCTCCCTGCTCAGCGGGGGTCTGCTTCCCCCGCAACCCTCCGCCCCGCCCAATCTCCCCTGCTCCGTCTCAAATAAACAAAATCTTTAAAAAAAGAAAAAGTCTCTGCACATACTCACCTACACAGTCTGTTACTCTGTAGCCTCCCCCAGGGGTCTGTTACCAGAGGGTCTGCTGCACAGCGGGGCCTGGGGAGGGGGACGTGTCCGCACACCCGTGACACCGTCTCGTACCTACTACGCGACACACACCGCGGAGCCCCTCGCGGGCAGCGCATCACTTCCCCGCACGGCGCCCGTGAGGTCGGCCCGGACGCGGCACTTGTGAACGAGCCCGTAGAGGCTTGGGACACCCCGGACCCGCACCGGCGAACGGCAGGGCAGGATCCTGACTTCCCAGCCGAACCGCAGGGCCTGTCTGCAGGACAGTCCCAAGCGGGCTCGGGCACCGCAGCACCGCATGGGTTGAGACGGACGGCCCCGCGCACCTGTCCGATTCCGGATGTGCTCTCGTTTCACAAACTCCCTTTTTGAGGGGAGGACTGAGCTAGGCCCTTCATTTCGGTTTTTCTTAAAAAAAAAAAACAAAAAAGAAAAAACTAGGGTCTAGCGATGGAGAGGAATGGATAGATGTGATTTAAGGAAGAATTGATGAGAATGACTTACAGTCCGGGTGGGGCTTGAAGGGAGGCGAGCTAGAGAAGTTCAAGGTTCCCCACCTGCCCGGCACACAACTGAGCGCCGACTTCACTGGGGGTTTACGAGGAACAGCGGGTTAGGTCAAGGGCAGGGGCCTGGGGGAGGAAGTGTGTTACACAGGAGGCGTCCGAAGTCACACAGCCCATCCGAAGAGAGCCAGTCGACAGAAATACACACTTCAGGGGTGCCTGGGTGGCTCAGTCGGTTAAGCGTCTGACTCTTGGTTTTGGCTCAGGTCCTGATCTCAGGGTGGTGAGATCGAGCCCTGTGTCAGGTTCTGTGGTCAGAGCAGAGTCTGCCTGAACATTCTCACGTCTCCCTCTGCCCTTCCTGCTCGTGCTCATGCTCGCTCTCCTCTCTCTCAAGTAAATAAATCTTTAAAAAAGGAAGAAAGAAATACACGCTTCAAATTCAGGGGACAGGTCGGGCCTGGAGACACCCACGAGGGAGAAAATGGGTCTATCCGAGAATGTGCAGAATGGGAAGGGCAGATGACAGCTGACAGGGCAAGACTCGACCCGGAAGAGTCCAGGGAAGCCAGAAGTACAGGCATCCTGGTGGAGAGCAGCAAGCAGGGAGCCCCCGGCGAGTAACCCCACACACGTCCCAGAAGACAGTCCTGCCTATCGCCCTGCCCGCGCCTGCTAAGCCCTCGGCTCCGAGCCGGCTCTCAAGGCCTCCGGGGTCCTCACCTTACTATCGAAGAGTGACAGCGGCTTCACGGTCTTCAGAGAAAACCTCATGACGGCGTAGAGGACGGAGGAGAGGACAGAGTGATGCTCCACCAGCGGGTAGTGGACGTGCTTCTGCTCCAGCGCCAGCTCCACGATGGAGATCGGTCCCTCGACCATGAGCCACGCGTCCTCCGTGTCCAGGACAGGCGCCTGCATCTCGTCCCGGCTGACGTCGGCCTGCGGGTTTGGAGAACAGAGAACCGCGGGCAGAATCGGAGAAATAAGAGCTTGCAAATAAATATCTTAACGCGCTTACAAGGGGGAAAGTGCAAACCCCTTTTCTCCCCAGACCCCAAAATTACAACAAAAAATCAAATCTAATTCTTTGTAAGAAACCATGATTTGGGGGATTTACGTCAAAACTTAGAAATGAAGAAAGGGAAAAAACCTCTTTCTAGAGTCTTTTTTAAAAATTATTTTTAATTTTAAAATTTTTAAATTTTTATTAACATATAATGTATTATTTGCCCCAGGAGTACAGGTCTGTGAATCGTCAGGCTTACACATTTCACAGCATCTAGAGTCCTTTTTTAAGTTCAGCGATTTTAAAAACTTTTGCTATCTCAGAGAGAGTTCAGAAGGAAAATGCGCCTCTTTTACCTCCATTAAAGTCTGAAGAAGATCCAAGCAGGAGCCAAGGAAGGAGGTCATTGCTGTGTCACTCATCCCCACATCCTGCCGGTAAAAAGGAACACGATTAGCACCTGCAGCAGAACTGCCTCAGTTCCCACCAGAAAAGCCACAAACACAGCACAGCACACCTACGCAGGGGACTCTCAACGCTGGACATACAAGAATTTGAAAGTCAAGGCATTGGCACATTTTAATTCCTTTCTTGAGATTCACTGTATTTTAAAATCAGGCTTTCCAAAAGACAGTACCCCCACAGGCTTTCCACAAGCCGGGGTTCCCCATGTGCTGTGAAGACGCGGCGCCATCGGTTGCCACAGGTCGCTGTGGCGGACCAGCGCGCTAAGGCGCTGGACAGCCAGGCGGTCAGGGGTCAGGGTACGTGCTGAGACGCCACACAGCAGCCAAGCCGAGAAGTCCTCAGAAAACAGCCCGCTCTGGCTGCAGAGCGTCCTTCAGGGACGGAACTGAACCTTTCGAACAAAGCCAGCATCCCCAAGCCCGGGAACTAAATACCACACTCGGGCTGTGGGCGACACATCGCTCCCGTTGGCCCTGCATTCACCAGCTTTTTGAAACCCACAACCAATAAATCCCTCACATCCTAAGTAATTCATCCTTGCATCATTCACTCTGTGTGAGTGTGTGTGTGTGTGTGTGTACACACACACATAACAGTCCCAGCCACTCTCAGGAGCACAGCAGAACTCTCCCCCGGTGGGGTTGTCAGGACTATGGGCCTAGCACGGCTAGATTCACGTGTCCCGGGATTGCCCAAGGTGTCTGTAGTAAGAGTATTTCGAAGTTCTGAGCAGAAGTTAGCTCTCCTCCTCACCGGCCTCAAACAGCCCAGCAACCGTGGGCTGGAATCGTACTGAAGACCGTTTGTGTGATGGTTATTACAGAAAGTAGCTAAAATTCCTTCATGAATCTGCTTCCACAGGACACTGGGTGTTGATGTTAATAAATTTCTAGTTGGAAGGTATCTGACAACCTAGAGAGGTAAATTAAAAGTGGCCACAACTCATGGCCAGTTTCCTTAACATCGTATGATCTTCCCCCGTTTCTCATCCCCTGAGAGGCCATCGGAATGGAAGAAGACCAAGTCCAGCCCTGCGGTGAATACGGTGCTGCCTAAGGCGCAGGACGGACAGCTCGGCATCTGGTGAACAGAGTCACTTACCCTTCGACATAGCCTGTCCTTTGGTGATTTTCCAACCTAAGAACGGGACACAAAAAACTATATTCATTTAACAATTTAAATAAGAAGGCATTACTATGGTATAAGAAGTAAAAGTAAGAAAATTTTAAAAACTCAGCTATAAATAAATGTTGGTTCTACTCATTTGTAACAGAATGCAGTTAACTTTGTGGTGGAACTTAAAAATGTTTTACGAAAAATATATCCGTGGGCTCAAAAATAATCCTTATCAAAAATAAACATTTTTCAGTTATTATCATCTTAAACCTATATTATTTTAGTTTTATTCAGATACTTGGATTAATAATGAAATAGCCACCACAGTGTGAATATTTTTGTGAATAAAGATTTTGAGAAAAACAGAACAAAAATAAATAAATAAATAAATATTTTTGAATTAAAAAAAAAAAAAAACCCTCTAAAAAAACCAGATTCTTATTAAGGCAAATAACTGTTGCCTTAAAACCCAGAACCAAACTCAAGGTTATGAATAAAGAGTAGCTTGTTGATAAAGATACACAATCATTTTAAATGGTCAAAAAGAAGAAAAAACAATGCAGTGCAGACAGAAGTTCTAGTCCTAGCTCAGAAAACTGGTTGATTTTCTCAATTCAATAAGTACTTGATGAACTCTACTGCACACTTATCCCGACTCTTCGGGAACATGACTTGACAAGAATTCCCAGGAGGCAGCACACGGATCAGGGCAGATAGGATCCCAACACCAACGACTCTTCCTCGTTGCCTCTCACTGAGATCTCTGCGCCGGCCCTCAAACCACCACGCTCGGCCCCTCCCAATCCCACATGTTTCACTGTTGCCAGAATCATCTTTTGAAACACAAATCTGAACATATCATTCCTCTGCTTAAAACTGCCCCAGCATCTTCAAGATAAAGTAACAGCTACCACCTTCTGAGCCCTCCCCCTAGGGGCCAGACCCTATGCTAGGCAGTTCACACAGAGGGTTAGAAAATCCCAAACCCACAGTGCACGCAGGAAAGACTTCATGTCTGGTTTCCACTCCTTCCCCCAGTGCGTGCTTCCAGCGCCCGAAACTCCTCCCAGCTCTGAGCCAAACACGGATTCTGCAGGAATACGTTTCCGTCTCACCCCTGCTCCCTGCTCACTCCTCCTCCACAACTCAGCCCAGAAGCCCTCCCTTGACCTGGTTATTTCCTTCCTCTTCTCAGTCCCCAAAGCACCCTGTTCACCTTTGAGACTGGGAGTCCCTGGAGGGCAGGGGCTGGGACTTTGAAATCTGTAAGCACAGCACCTAGCACAGCCCTTGGCACACAAGAGATACTTGTAGTTAAGTATTTATTGAATGAATCGTCAAAACTCTCTACCTCCTAATTCAGCACTGTTTAAATTCAAGTCCGGGTTGAGAGAGTCCTGTGTGGCCGTTGATGTACGAACACTACACAACCCCACAGTGACAGACATGTGAAAGGCTTCACGCTACTGCTCTCCCAGAAGGCAGCAGCCAGAGGTGGAGGGGAAGAGAGCAGTACCAGAAAGGCCAAAAGGAACGAGCTGGAAAACAAACACTGAAGCAGGCCAGGAAGGTGAGCACGTGGGGAACATCAGGTTGAACTAGAAAACTGTTACCAGGAACAGCCAAGAAAGCATTTGTAGTGGAGCTGTGGCCCCAAGTGGGTCTGAATGTCATGCTTACGGCTGAATGTCTGTCCGTGTACATCTGCAAGAACGTGCTGTCCTTACGTGCTGTCCCTCTCCTGACATCCACTCACCTGATGCCAGATGAAGCTACACTCTTGCCAGGCCTGGGGACACATTGCTCAGGGCCCCGGGTGCCCAGCTGGGGGGCGGCGGCTAGTCTCCGTCCACTGAGTCCTGTCCCCTGAGCACTGTTTGTTCCTAAAGCTACTTTGGTTGGTTGTAATAGGTAACCATGTATTTCTGCCACTTAATTAAGTAACTGATAAAATATGAGTGAGAAAAAAAGGGGGTGGATATACAAATACCAGGTTGAGTGCTTTAAAAAGCTGTGCAGAGTAGCCGACTCCCAGCTCTACTGGGAAAGATGCAGAGGAAGCGACTACAAAGAAGAGGGCATAAATTTTAAAATCTGAATATTTTGCACTCAGACTGCGTCACCACTTTATAAAGAAAAGGGATTTAGAAATCACACGCAAGGCAACAGGGGTGAATTTTCTGTAGGAAAACCAAAGCAGGGCGGCAGTCGACCCCAAAGAAAATACCTTGTCCTACATCCAAAGAGGGATGAGTTAACTATACATTTGTACATTTTAATTTAAAACAAGGTACAAATCTTTTCCTCAGTCAAGCATAAGTCACACTCTCTTTGGTTAAGGGGCTTTTAAAGGAAAGTACTCTCGAGGATCTGGAAGGTTCTTTTCCAGGTCCTCAAAATGCCAGTACTGGGCATTACAGTTAACGGAGCATTAGTAAAATGTAATCTCAAATAAAAAATAGTCTAACAAGGCCCACTGTAAAGAAACTTTCTAATATCAATCAATTAAGGAAAGAAACAAGTATATGAAATTTAAAATTACCTTACCTTATCCATCAAGTACGTAGCAGCAGAAAACCTTTTCACCAAGAATGTATTCCACATCATGAGAGCAATGCCTAGAGAGCAAGTAAAGTAGTAAGTAGAAAGTTTATCTGTTTTTTCTTTTATCATGCTTAACAAATTACTGTTCCTTAAGCTTATAAAGCTATATGGGCTATTTATTTAGATATCGTTTCTGACATCTCACATTACAATATTTGTAAAATTAAGAAAAACCTTTATCCTCAACGATAATCAGAACTGAGCTGTGTAAGAGGGTATCCAAATGGCCACTAAGTGTAAGAAAAGATCCGTATCTTTAGTTATGAGATACACCTTAAAATCACAGATATCAACCAACCAACACAAGGGCTTTTTTTTTTTTTTTTTTTAAATGACCGAACCAAGTGTTGGGGAAGATAAGGAAACCACTGGAACGCTCATAGATTGCTGGGGGCGCATCAGAAAGTGGCAAAACCGCTTGGAAAACTGGCCGTTTCTGCTAAAGCTAACTGTGTGTCCATCCTACGACCCAGCAATGCCACCGCATAAAGAAACACAAAGATGTCTATCAGAGTGTCAAGAATAGCTTTATTCAAAACAGCCAAGCAAGAGAAACAGCTCAATGTCCAAAAGTCTTTTTTTTCCCCACAGGTAACCACCAAATAAAGTGACATATGAGGAAGTATTAAAAAATAAAACACAAAAGCAACCACACAAGAAATCTGGGCTATATACGTCCATATTCAATAAACCATGGCACTGAAATTTCTGAAACTGTTGTTAATTAGGTTCAGCATGCCATCTCCCCTGCGGCCATTATCTGCAAGCGGTGCTTCCGTAACTGGGCTGAGGGCCTCAGGGGCTGTGGAGAAGCCAAGAGACCCACTGGACAAAGAGCTAAGTTCTTAAATATAAGCCTGAAGTTAGCAGTGACTTAATTTTATCAATTAAGGGTAGAATTCTCTAGAGACCCTATTTTCCAAATGAGTCACTTTCCATCTTCTTTTTCCTCCCAGGAAGAAGGTAAGATGTAAGAGATGAAAAATATTTTCATGTTTTCTTCACAGAAAATGAGACATTTTAGATTTCTCCAATTGGATGTCATACCACCTGCGAGGAGGCGGTACGGTGAGGAATAAGGAGTTTCCCTAAAATTCATCACATGGACACCAAGTTGATGCCTCCCTCTTACGTGGCTCAACACCTAGTTTCACCACTTAGTAAAATAACTAGCCTCGTGCCGAGCCCTCCATTACTTCTTCCAGGGAAACCCACTAATTTAGTGGAACCAGCAGCCTGTTTACAATTTTTCCACCACAATTTGTGACATTTTGTAAAGGAGATATCGGCAGTCCCCATGTTACAGCAGCCAACGGAGAACAGTCACATTTATTAAAAGCAGCACGGCGGTGGGGGCCGCCTGGGTGGCTCAGGTGGTTAAGCATCTGCCTCTGGTCTGGGTCATGTTCCCAGGGTCTGGGATCGAGCCCTGCATCGGGCTCCCTGCTCGGCGGGAAGCCTGCTTCTCCCTTTCCCACTCCCCCTGTTTATATTCCCTCCCTCGCTATCTCTCTGTCAAATAAATAAATAACATCACACACACAGAAAAAGAAACACAAGGCAATTTGTACCATATGATAGCCTTAGGCTCTTGGCTACCTAACATTTCATTAGCAACTTCAGCCCTTTCTGAGAAGCCCATCCCTCTTTCCTTATCTACCTGTGATCTAAAAAGAAAATCAGTGTTTTATGTCTAATATTCTCCTTACTTCTCCCCCGTTATCCCCTCCCAAACAGCATTTTCCTAAGCAGTTCAAAGACCAGGACTTCACCCATCATGATACACAAACACGTACACAGTCACGTGTTAGGTAGGAGGCAGAGCCAGAGCCATCAAATAAAAAATGAACAGAATGTGAACTTAAAGATCCCTGCCTCTTTTGAATCCACCAGTTACGTTTTTAATGCTTATTTACTTACCATTCTGAACATGCGCATTAAGAATGTGCCTCAAGTGTTCTATTGACCTAACAAAAAAACGTGCTTCCTTACATACAGGGAGGAAAAAAGAGAGAGAGAAAAAAAGAGAGGTATCATTTAACAGATGTTTCAAACACAAATGGTAACTTCTTAAATTTCTACATAAAGCTACCTAAGAATGTGGTGATAAGAACACAGATGTATTAGGTAAAAGAAAATAGGACAGTGTCAATGGTCTCTCTTAAATTCATGTTACCTACATGATGATTGATACCAGGTCATATATGCTGACATCTGGAATCAATATTCACTATGGCCTGGACATGACAGCAGTATTTTCTTTAATAAATACTTGAATTTCACACAGAGGTGGGTTTACTTCTTTGCAAATATCATTCTTCATTATTCAACAATTATTTATTAAGGCACTACTATGCACCAGAGACACTGTAATGAACAAAGAGACCCAAATCCTTGATCTCACTGAGCTTACATTCAAGCAAGCAAGCTAAATATGGTAAGTAAATTATACAGTTGGTTAGTGATAACATGCCAACGAGGAAAACTAAAGCAGTGAAGGGAAACATGTCTGAAATTCAACTCCCTCTAATCGAGGTCTGACATATTAACACTCATATGCAGCATGTAAAACTGATGACATTACCCAGATCTTTGCTAAATAATATTATAGCTACAAACACTAAACTTATCACCTTTGATAACACATACTAGTGTTAGTGATATCCCTCAAATAATTTCAATTGTCTTGATCCTGATGAAGCTCATGTATAAAATGGTAGAACTGGGGTAGGGACTGGATGGGGAAAGGAGAATTATTTAATAAGAAAAAAAAAAAAGAAAAATGGTCATTTATTTGAAATGTAAACAATTTAAATAGACCATGATAGCACTAGTCAAGATGTCAGGCACTACGCATGCATTTTCTCTAGAAATTGCAACACCCCTTCAAGATAGCTACAGTCCTCATTTACTTTCAGTAAAAAAATCAAGAACAAAGGGTTGAGAAATGTTCCCAGAGATCATACAGCTGGTGAGTAGGGGCAATGAGGCTCGACCTCAGCTGTGTCCCAAGCCGCCTTCAGTTTATAATGAATGATGTAAAACAGAATTTTCTCCTTATGTATCACTGTTAGGGCTGAATCTGGAATTAATCTATTCAGATTTTACAAACTATTATGTCCTTATTATAATTGTAACATTCCTTTTTCCTGTAAGAAAAAATTTTCCATTGAAGGAGAGAGCCCAAACACAATGGCCACTCAGATCATAGAGCAGGCCACTGAAGAGGGTGACTTAGGGACCATCAACAGGGTCCCCTGTGCTAAAATCACTTTTTGGTCAAGATTTAATTGATCAAGGGCCATTCCTTTGTTTAAAGCACTTTTTAAAAAAACCTTTTAATATGTAAGTGATTACATATTAAAGACAACACTTTTGGGGGAGGAAGAGTATCATTAATTCATGTATTAGTGTGTGTTAGTTCATCAGTGAGATTTTTTTCTTCAAAAGTGCAACCTGACATAAGGACCATAAAATATTTGGCTTGGAGAGGGATAATTTACCAGGGCACTGACTAGGGAGACCTGAGGGACGGACTTATTGGCAAAGGGCAATACCCATCCTATGTTTTCACATCTTACTTAATTCAGGCATCAATCCTGAAGGATTTGCACCTTCATTAAAAAAAAGGTAGAGGGGGAAACAAACAGGTTCAGAGATTCAGTGACTGGCCCAAACCCAGACACTTGTCAGAAATTCAGCTGGGACCCAAATCCAGCCCCTCAGCTCAGGGCCTATCCTGCTTCCCGACTATGGTTGTTCTGCGAGAGAAAGTGGCAGAAAACGATGCCCCAGCAGAGAGCTAAAAGGGCAGTTAGGCTAACCCTGGACTAGGGTCAGCCTTGTACATAGTGCGGCTTTCTCGGTGTTTCGGAGATGAACATAAGAGAAGTGACAGACAAACGCAGGGATATCTAAACAAGCAGACACTAGGTCAGTGTCCGGATCTTCACGCTGGCTTTATCAGGATGACTACGATATTACAAAGTTTCTAGTAAGTTCATGCCGTCTCATACAGGAATTCAAAAGGAAATAAAAAATATACGTATCACAACTTAACTAGGAGCAGGGGCAAACACGCCAGCTCTAAACACAAAGAAACCTAGGTGGAAATCCTGGCCCAGACCAACTCAGCAGTGTGCCCTGGGGCATGGAACCGAACTTCTCTGGGCCTGGTTTCTCTTCTCCAGAGGGGGTTACTGACAATGTCCACATGTCACAGGTTCTCTGTGAGGACTGAGAGATAATGCATGAAAAAGACCTAGCACAGCTCCTAGTACAGCGGCATCCCAAGCGGGAAAAGTCCAGTGTTTACAGTACGTCACTGACCTAAACAGTCCCACATATGTACAGCATAAGCACAACGACAGAATTAACAGGAAAGAAGTGGCGAGAACCTTACCTCTGGGTCTTTATTCCACTGAACGACATACTCCCAACAGCAGTGGGCGTGCAGCACGTCCAGCTCAAGGCTGCATGGAAACTGCTTATAGGCTAAATGCAACAAGTCTGAAAGCCACAAGAGAGGACAGATTTATAAGTCTTTCCTTAACAAAGACTCAGCCACATCCCCTCCACTCTGGGCCGCATATTTCTTCATATTTATGGATTACCTGGTATGGCTCCTAGGGTCATCTCCACCTCTGATGCTTCAAGTAAACCTCTGTTAATGCCTTCTTTGGGTTCATCTGGGTTTTCTGCATCTCTTTCCTTACTAGCCAGTTTTAGTACTTCAGGGCTGAAGTCCTGTTTAAATATCCACTTGGCTACACTGTCTGCAATGCCACCTATAGTGTGGAGATAAGCAAATGAAAATTCACAGTGTTCAGCAAAGATGGCAAGGCCAAATGCAATATCTGATGGCTAAGGGCATCTCTATGCTCTAATATATATATTATACATATAATTATATAATAACCTAATATATATATATATATATATACTCTAATATATATTAAACATAAATGCACACACTTGTCTGTAACCATGTAGCTTCTATGTCCACAAATTCAACATATACTTTGCCAGACACAGAGGAAGGGATGAATACATCTTCAAAACATTATCATTTTTTTAAAAGATTTATTTATTTGATAGGCAGAGAGGTAGGCAGGCAGAGAGGAGGAAGCAGGTTCCCCGCTGAGCAGAGAGCCTGATGCGGGGCTCGATCCCAGGACTCTGGGATCACGACCCGAGCTGAAGGCAGAGGCTTTAACCCACTCAGACACCCAGGTGCCCCTATCATTTTTTTTTAAAAGAAGGTTTTATTTGAGAGAGAGAGAGAAAGAGAGAGACGGAGAGAGAACACAAGCAGGGGGAAGGGCAGAGGGAGAAGCAGATGCCCCACTGAGCAGGGAACCCAACAAGTGGCTCGATCCCAGAACCCTTGGGATGACCTGAGCCGAAGTCAGACACTTAACTGACTAAGCCCCCCAGGTGCCCTTAAACCACTTTCATTTATATACAAGTGAAACAGACTGATTAGCATGATACCTGTTTAGGCAACATGTTACTTTTAATAGCCAAATAACTTGCCTACATGGAGTACTTATAGGCAAAAATTAGTTACCTCTAAGAAACATGATGTTTTCCCATGTTTCAGTCACTGACATAGGCCAAAAAATTCTACATGGAAACTGGAAAACACTCAAGACAAAGAGTCCTGTTTCTTACCTAAAACAAATGATACATTGTTCTCTAATTACCAAAACTTCTTCTTCCTATTTTGATCAAATATAAACCTTTCCACACAAAAAAAGAAAGCTTCACAGTAAAATCACACTTATCGGTGATAATAAAGGACAGCAATGTGCTGGGTATTCCAATTTCTCATGTTTGACTTCCAGGTCATTTGGTAGTTTCCATTCCAAAATCAAGCCCTTGCTCACACTGCTTAGGTTAATATCACAAAGACGGTCCTACCCTATTAGCAGGTGGCAGCAAGGAGTGTAGAGTTTACAACTTTTTCGCAAGCTTTTCAAAAAACAACTTATTTAAACTTTAAAAAAAGGGGGGGGGGTTCCATTTGCATTTGAATGGAGTATCTCTTCTCATCCCTTCACTTTTAGCCTGTGTGTGTCCAGTCTCGAGGTGGCATATATATGGGTTTTGTTTTTTTTACCCATCCAGCCACCTTTTGTCTTTTGATTGGAGAATTTAGCACATTTATAATTAAAGTAATTCCTGGTAGATGTTGCTTGTTGCCATGTTGTTCTCTGTCTGCTTTAATAGTTCCTCTGTTCCTTTATTCTTTTCTTGCTCTCTTCCTCTGTGGTTTGATAACTTTCTTTGGTGGTTTGCTTATAGCCCTTTCTCTTTATCTTTTGTGTATTTATTACAGGTTTTTGCTTTGTGATTACCACATGCTTAGAAATAACAACTTATCTATTGTTACAATATCTGTAACTGTCTGATTGGGTGAGTTCTACTGCCCCGTCTTTGGGTTCACCGATCCTTTCTTCTGCTTCACCTAGTCTGCAGCTGAAACCCTCTAGCATGTACTGAGTTCAGTTATCGTATTCTTCAGCTCTGTGATGTCTCCTTATTTTCCATCTCCTTGAAGTTATCACTGTATTCATCCATTCTTCTCCCCACTTTGGTTAGCATTTTTATGACTCTAACTTTGGACTTTTTATCAGGTAAAGGACTTCTCGCCATTTGATTAAGGTTTCTCCCCACCCCGAAGTTTTATCCTGTTCTTGCACTTGGAACATATTTCTCTATTTCTTCCTTTTGCATGAGTCTTTGTGTTGGTTTCTACACAGAAGATGGAACGACCTCTTCCAGTCTTAAAGGAATGGCCTTGCTCAATCATGCCTCAGTTCTTGATTGTCTCTCAAACCTCTGTGCTTAGCCAAGCAGCCTAATAGATATTTAACAGTTCACAGTAGCTGAGGATGTGCCAAGACCAGCCAGTGTCCCAGAAGAGAGGATCTTCACACCTACATTCAGGCTGACTGAAAGCCAGAACCTCAAGCATTAGATTTTTTGTGGTTTTTTTTTAACTTATTTATTTGAGAGTGAGAGAGAGCACCTGAGCACAAGTGAGAAGGGCAGGGGGAGAGGGAGAGAGAATCTCAAGCAGACTCTACACTGAGCACAGAGCCCAAAGTGGGGCTCAATCTCATGATCCTGAGATCACAACCTGAGCTGAAACCCAAGGGTCAGATGCTGAACCAACTGCACTGCCAGGTACCCTGTCAGGCATTAGCTTTTAAAAGTAAGCAAATATATACAGTCCTGTGGGACCACAAGCATAAGCTCCATTGGCCACCAGAGTCAGGCGATCTGGAGGGGTCCTCTGGGTGGCAGTCACAAAACCAGAGCTCCAAACAAGTGTATAAGCTCCTTCTGGGTTATGCTGGCAAACCGGGACAAGGCAGAAGGCAAGTGTCAGGACGGCACCCACAGTCTATGTTCCTTGAGAGCAGCTGCAGAGGCCACTAATTATATGCCAAACCTAAGGCCTTGCCTCTCAGGCTGAAGTTTACAAATCTTATAAAGGATAAGAAGACAGGTTAACTAAATCGAAATCTATAAATACATGGGTGTTTATAAATCCAGGAATACAGACATTCCAGTATCAAATGCCTGACAGAGCTGCTGATAAAAAGAGAGTACACCAAGACAACTAAAAATTTACAATGCTTCTGGTCCTGCAGGATGTAAGCACAAGAACCCAATGGCTCTAGAATAGTAGAAAGTGATAAATCACAAAAGAGGTATAAGGTCCTGTGGAAATCAGGAGGAAGAAGAGAAAATTGGTAGCTAGTAGATCATGAGCAGTTTGTTAGAGGAGTAAGCATTTGAGCAGGGCCTTGAAAGAGGAGTAAGTACAATTTAGAATCCAGAATGAGACAGGTCGGGAGAGGGAAGGGGACAGGCTCAGACCCAGAGCTGGGGAATCACATAGATGCTTCATTTGAGCCATAAGCAAGCAATAAGCAAGAAATGGAAAAACGGGTTAGATTCAAACCCAAGGTTCTTAGAGAACCAGTTTCTATTTGTTCCAGAAGTTCTCGAATTTCTTAAGTCTCAGAATCTCCTTAAACTCTTAAAAATGACTGACAATCCCAAAGAACTTGAGCTTATGGGTTATATTGATTCAAATTCCTGGTCTTAGAGATTAAAATTGAGAAAATTCTAAAATACTTTTATTAATTCATTTTTAAATATAAGTAATAAACCTATTACATGTTAACAACATTTTATGAAAATATAGTTCCCAAAGCAAGAAAAGACATTTTGGGAGAGGAGCAACACTACAACCTTTGCAAAGCCTCTTCCACTGTCTAGCTTAAATCTGGGTTCTCCGATCAGCTTCTGCACGCCATCTATTAGGATCTGTTGCTCTGGCTGAAGTGCAGGAGGAAAAGCCAGCCTCGCAGAGACATGAAGCTGGAAAAGGGTGGGCTCTCGAGGTCCTCTGAGCACTCTTTGAGAACTGTGGCTAATTCTCTAGGGCAGGGGAAGGAGTGGGGATTCCTGAGCAGGGAACTGACCAAATCAGACTCTGAGGAGATCAACTGAGAAGAAAGACATGGCAGGTTATTTTTAATTTTTTAAATCTAAATGTACTTGTCTTTCCCTATCCTTGCAATCATTCCTATAAAAAGCCCCAGAAATGTCCACACCATAAACACACAGATCTGTAGGTGCAATGCTCCCATCAACCCCAGCTTACCTTTTCCTCCTTCCAGTAACTTTTTGACAGACAGCCTCGGGAGTGGCTCAGCCTGCAGTGACGACACTTTGGAGGCTGGCGTGTTTGCTTTGCTGTGAAGCAGAGTCTGAAGGATGAGGCAGTCCTCCAGCTGTTTCAGCAGGAGCTTCCAGTATTCCATGTCAAGAGAAAGGGCCTCCCAGGAATCGGTGAGGGCCTCAGAATCAGCACCCGACACTGTTTGGGAAAACTAACAAAAAATGCCCTGGTGATACTCTGGCAAAGACTCTGGATCAGCACGCACTTGAATGAGCTTTGAACCTGAAAGCTGATGACAGTCAGGATACGTCACGAAGCAACACGCAGATGCTGGCTCACGAGTATTACTACTTGGCTGGATGGAACATGAGTGACAGGAGGAGACTGGAGACTCGGAGGCAACAGTGACAGAGTCTAGACATTCACAGTAAGACCCCTGGGAAAGCCCTTGATTCATGCAATGGGCACTAACGAGTTCGCAGGGCCATACCCAACAAGGGCCATGGTCTTTTCTGTTAGTACCAGGATAGTGCTCGCTCTTCAGAAGGCACTCTCTGACATACAATATGAGTCTCAAATTCCTTCTCTCTCCATTATCATAAACATCTTAGGCCAGTAATATTAAATTTAGCATATAAACTACTGAGACTGACAATGTTAAGTGAATCTCTACAGTCCTATTTAACTGACTCATCCAACTAAATCAACGTTCCCCAGAAAAAATTTGATCTACCATGAGATATAAGAGATGTTTGTTCTTTTAAAAAAATAAATCTGAGTCTTTAAAAAGACAAGGAAAAAACCACAAAGCAAAAGGTCAATAGGAAACTTTTATTCAAGTCATTCAACACCCCAGGCCAAAACAACTTGTTTATAAAAAGGGGGAGAGTAATAAATACAATTGTAGAACTCCAGAGCTATAACGAACCTCAGACATAATGCAGTCTAACCCCAACCTCCTTTAGATGAAGAACCTGAGGCAGGAGACTCATGTTTAAGGGACTCACCACACATCACCAGTTGCTGGCCGAGAGCCAGACCTCTGCCTTCTGATTGCCATACTTTTCCCCTCAAGGTGAAAGTACCAGGTGACGGCAAAATTCAGTATGCGTGTCATCTGAACAAACAAGTTAAGGGCAGCACACCTCCCTCCCAGAAAGACAAATGAGAATCTGCTGGACACACATTTCAAACTCTAGATGTTCCATAACGTCAAAGACACTGTAGTCCAGACAGGGACAAGCAGCCCCTAAGCAGACTGGACAGGCAGAGATCCAACCTTTCCAAGACCAGGTAGACCCCCCACCCGCCGACTTACTTTTTTCTCAGTCATACTGTTTGAGATCTGTGCAGCAATGGAATGCCCAATGTGTGCAGACAACAGAGCAGCTCCGTTGTTCTCAGACTGAATACAAGCCGTGCGCATCTGCTGCCACCATGGAGACACAGACTGGGAATCCCAGGTCTCGTCGATGGCCACTATGGGCAAAAAGAGAAAGTTAAAAGAAAGCCTGAGCTTGTTGATTTTTCCTGTTCGACCTTTAACATTAAACAGAATGTTGAAACTGAATTCCCCTGTGATAGATTGGTAAATTTCTGAATTAGAAATTAAATCCATGGGGCCCCTGGGTGGCTCAGTGGGTTAAGCATCTGCTTTCAGCTCAGGTCATTTCCAAGAGCAGCAGCGTCTCAAGGCCCATGCAACTGCAGCAGCCCCCAGCCTTTTACCTTTCATCTTGCTCAGAAGGGACAGCATCGTATGGAGACAGCACACAGACTGCGGTTTATCCAAAATATCTTTTTCCTTAGAAAGCCACACACTCAGGAGCAGAGACTGAAATCAAATTTAAATAATTTTCAGTAATAAAAAAAAAACAAAATGTGGCACTTTTCAAGAGCGCACAGACGTGTATACGAGTGATTCAGTCCTTCAGGGTGAGAAATGAGGGGCTGCTCATTACATCGCCTCTCATGAGAGACACAACAAGGTACCCTGTCCACTGAAGACATTCTTCGTATCTGTCAGATCTGTAACTTCCACTGTTTCCGTCTCTTCTTTGGGTTAATTAAGCTCTGCTTTCCAGGCTGTGCCTTGATTAGGGAGCAAAGTACCAGAAAGGTTACTACTACCGAGTAAGCGTAGATCTCCGTAGACTGGCAAGAAGGCACTCAGCTGCCAGGAGGAAAGGAAGGACGCGGAGCTGTGGACCTCACCCCACACTGGCCACAAGGTACTGTGAATTTGGCAGTGCTGAACGGATAAGTAAAGCGATCGGATTCTAGTTTTTAAATCACTAGTAAGTCAAGAGAAACAGATTTTATAAGCAAAAACATTTAAGTCAACATAAGTGACTTTTAAGATGCCTACGAACCAGCCTATCTACTTAGAACTGAAATATTTTAAGATGTACACAATTTGCACACAGATAATTCTGGGATAATAAGAAGTTCAATGGCATGGCACCGCACCTGTCAGTACTGGTGTTTGAGAAAGGCCTGGGTTAGCGTTAACTCTGCGGGACCTTCACGTTAAAACCAAAAACAAACGCTTGAAAATAAAAGGTTGACTACCAGTTTACATATAGTAGTATAAATGCTTTTCAAAAGTGAAGAAGAGTAGGAAGTTGAAGTCATGCGTGAAGGAAACTGGGAGAACCAAAGGGCCTGGAGACGGAAGTACTCGCCGGGCATCACCCCGTCCAATTCCGACAACCCCGCGGCAGGCACGGTCTCCCAGATTTTACAAATGATGAAAAGAAGTAATTTTCCCAGCACCATAGAGCTGGTGAGTCCGGACTGAAGTCTCAACCAAGATCTGTCTGAGCCTAATATGCGTGTTTTTTTCTCTTTAAAAAACTGTACATGTGTATCGACTGTACATATAATTTGTACAAATACACACACATGCTTTTAAAAGGAGTTTATTTCTCCCTTTTCTGTTTAACCCTCTTACCTCTCTCCCTATGTCAGCCTCCTTTCTACTTCATCCTATCCAGAAACCTATTTTTTTTTTTCTACAACCACGTATGTGCTTTCATATTTGCCTGCACATTCCTAAGAGAAGGACAACACCAGCAACAACAAAGGCTGGTGGCTACCGTGGGCAGACTAGGTGCCAAGCCTCTGGCAGCTTCCTAAGTGCAGCTATACAGAGAGCATTATGGAGCGACATGGGGCTTTTATAAAACTGGGCTCATGTTATACCATGTGCTTTCCACCTGCCACACAAACACCCTGTGTAGTCCACCAAGTTTTGACTGACTCTATCCACTTATCAAGGCTATTCCCTCTACCTCACACAACACTGCTACTTACAGGCAGGTTACAGAAACGAGTTGCCTGGATAGGCCACAAAGACACTCCAGAATCAACTGGAAATTACTCTCAGTGTTTTGGGCACATATGTGCTATGAAAGCAAGCCAAAAGGAAATGAGGGGGAGCAGGAGGACTTATCTTTCAGGCTCACTCTGATTAATTTTAGGCAAAAAATATATGCCCAGGGGTATTTTACAAGCACTCCAGGTTTCTAAACACACTTATGGGTTTAGTGTCTTTCAAAGCTTGATCCATCTTTTCAGCAGCAACAAAGTTTCGAAATGCTCAAAAAGATGGACAACCCAAAGAGTTAGACAAATTGAATGCCACGGCCTGAATTCCCCGTCATACTATAAACTCTTTTATTTTTCTCTCCAACTAACCATTCCCCCTATCACCACCCTTATTTAGCAAATTCTAAAACAAAAAACCCTGTTCTGTTTAACTTTCCTTCTCTCTCTCTCTAGGTCAGCCCTGTTCTAACTCTCATGCAGCAAGGTAATCTTTGCTTATAACCCAGCGGGTGTTCCTCTTGTTTTTTATTAACTTTAAAAATCCAATCAGTTATGCTTTAGTTAGCATGTAAAAAGTCAGAATGCAATACAAACTGCCACGGGAACTATAAGGACAAGATGACATAATTTTAGAATCACTTATAAGCAATAGATTTTTTTAATTTTTAGGAAAAATTAAGGTAAAAGGAGAAAAATCATCAAAGAGGAGAATACAGAGCTAAGATACCACATATACACATAGACACACATAACAGAAAGAAAAGTATACTGAAGGTAACAATCTCTACAACGAGTAAATACAAAATATCCTTTCAATACATCACAGCAAAGAATGTCACATATTATTCATAATGTGGATATTCATATTATAAATGTAAACTATGTTGTTTCACATATAAATGTCACATACTGACATATTACCAGATGGTATCTGAGTATTAGATTTTTATTAAGAGAAACCTTGAGAGGAAAGTTGGTTAATTCCTCTTTTCTAAGTCGAGCGGTATCTAAGACTTGGTAAAAACCTGTACCTAACAATGAAAGAGAAAAATCCCACGGGTTCTGGGTAGAAGCTTCTAATGCCTAATGAACTTTACTTTTTGCTAAGTATCCTCCTCCTGTAATATTAACATCCCAGATGTTTTAATCCTTCCCTCAGCAGAAATGCTGGCAGATAGAACGTGAAGAAGCCATCTGTTAGCCCTGTCTCTACTTAAAAGAAACTTACTTTGTCAGTTTTTTGAATGAGCCTTATTTTCTAGTCTTTCCTAAAAATTAGGTCTGTTTTTGTATACAGAATTAAAACTTGATAAAATTCCAGTGAGAGTAATTACAGTTTTAAACATTGAATTATAGTTTTAAACATTTAAATATCTAAAAAAACTATCAGGCTGTTGTCGTGAATTACGCTAATGTAGTAAAATACTGACTAAATCAAGTGTAAGGTTTATAGAAAAATCGGTAGGCATTATACACTAGAAGTATTTCCAAATTTAACAATACACACAACCTAAAAAAAAATAGACACAAACACACAAAACCTAGATTATAAGTAGAAAATTTCTTTATAAACATAATTCCAATAAAATTGCCATATAAAATAGTTCAGGAAAAAAGAGTTAGCATTTCAAATGCCTTTATAACACTAATAATATATTTTATATATTTTGTTGAAAGACCTAACACCTTTTATTCATGACTTTCAGATGCCTAACTCCTAAAAGTCTATCACTCTTTTAATGTAATACAATAGACATTTATTCTTTTTAAAAAAAAACTGTAAGTTAGTAACTTAGAAATATGTCACTGGTTAGTATTTTGGCCCTGGCACTAACTGCTTCAGGAATGAGCAGGCTGTAAGCAAGATGCACACTTACTACACGGGTACACGAAACCCCTGCACTTGATCTTCCTAAGGCCAGGCGGCTTATTCACAGGCTGAATGTGTTAGCTATTTCCTCTGATCAATGTGACAATGACCAAGCAGGCTTTTTTACAAGCCGGTCTTATTGTACATTCAATTTCTTACTTTAATTCTTGGGCTTTGTTTTTTGGGGTTTTTTGAAGAAGTTTCCCCTTCCCTTCCCATTCGTAACTATTAATTACATGCTTTCAGTAAAAATGCCTTATTTCTCTGTACTCGATGGTAGGATTTTAAAAATGTACATGACTGCTTGAAAGCATTCAGCTATGGAAAGAATATTTTAAAAATCTAACTATAAAATAGTCATCTGAGGAAAGCAAAGGAAAAGTGACCAATCATTTGGAACAAGTGAAATACAGTCTCTCAGAGTTAGATGATTTTTAAAAAGAACTTAAAATTACAACCTATTTTATAAGTTCTATAGCACAATAATAAATATACTTATAGACCACAGCTTTATGGATTTAAAATAGTCAGATTTTCTAGAGAGCATTTTATTACATTATGATATATACATATTTACAATAAAGTTCATTAATTTCAGTTTGGGTGGCCAACACCATAAACATAGTAAAGCACATCTTCATCCCCCAAAGTTCCCTTGTGCTTCCTGTGCGCAGTCTCCAATGCCCACCTTCATCCTCTAGCAAACACCCCTCTGCTCTGTCAGTCTATTTCATAAAATTAAAATCATACAGTAGGCAGTCTTGTTTCTGGATCTTTCCACTTAGTATAATGCTTTTGAGATTCATTTATTTATTTATTACACAGTTGTACTGTGTATCTCTTAACTTTTTTCCCACTGTATGGACGTACCATAACTTACCACTTATCAGCCGGTGGATACCTGGGTTGTTTGCACTTTGGACTATTCTGAATGAAGACGCTGCTAACATTTTATTTCAAATCTATGTGAACATATGTGTTCATTCCTCTTAGATAAATCCTAGGAGGGGGACTGCCGGATTTTATGGTAAATCGCTATTCAACAGTGTAAGAAACTTTTGGACAGTCTTCCAAAGTTGTTGTATTTGTTGGCATTTCCGTTGGCCACGCTGAGAGTCCTGATTGTTCCATATCTTCATCAACACTTAGTGCCGTCAGTCATCTTCGTTTCGGTCATCCTCTTGCGAAAGAGACTCCTGTGGTTTTATCTGGCACTTCCCCAGCAGTAAAAGATGCTGACCACTTTTCATGTGAGCATTGGCCACGGGGAAGCGTATTTTCTGGTGACGTGATAGTTCAGATCTTTCACTTTCCTTATTGTGTTCTTTGTCGTCTTATTGAGCCGTGTGAATTCTTTCTTAATGTGGATTCAATTCATTTATCAAATATAAGTTTTAAAAGGGAGGTTTGCCTTTCAGTTTCTTTTTCTTTTTTTTTTTTAAAGATTTTATTTATTTGACAGAGAGAGATCACAAGTAGGCAGAGAGGCAGGCAGAGAGAGAGGAGGAAGCAGGCTCCCTGCTGAGCAGAGAGCCCGATGTGGGGCTCGATCCCAGGACCCTGAGATTATGACCTGAGCCGAAGGCAGCGGCTTAACCCACTGAGCCGCTCAGGCGCCCGCCTTTCAGTTTCTTAACAGTTCTAAAACACAGAAGTTCTGAATTTTGATGAAGTGCAATTGATCAATATGTTTTTTTGTTCGCACTTTCTGTGCCCTACGAAATCTTTGCCCGAACCAAGCTTTCTCCTTATTTTCTTCTGTAAGTTCTGTAGTCTTATGTCTTATATTTATTTTCCATTTTGAGTTAATCTTTATATATGGCTTGAGGTAAGATCTGAGGCTCATTTTTTCCCAATGTTTCTTGAACTCCGGATTTAATGCAGACATTTTGATACTGATTAAACACAATTTAAAAGTAAGAAGTATTCTGTACTCATCTTATTTAAGCATCTCAAATTTGGATAATAAATACTTATCTGCTCTCTTTTTAAATTTTTACTTTAAAATAGTTATAGATTCACTAGGGGGAAAAAAAAAAGCACAGCAAAGTCCCATGCACCCTTCCCATAGCCTCCCCTAATGGTGGCATCTTACACAATATCATAACCAAGAAGTTAACATTGGCAAAATCCAAAGCTTATTCAAATTTCACCAATAATGCATACACCCATATGTGTGTACATGCAATTCTATCAAATGTGTAGCTTTTCAAAAACATCACCATGGTCAAGCACTCAACTATACGTCAGCAAGAGACTCCTCTGTGTGGACCTTTTTCAGCTACACCCATCCCTCCCCACACTCATCCCTCACCTCTCACCGACACTAACCTCTTCTCTATCTCTGTAACGGTGCTATTTCATGACCGTTACACAAAAATGGAATCATGCAAGCACATGTCTTTCCAAGATGGGCATTTTTCCACTCAGCGCATTTTCCTTGCGGTTCATTCAAGTTATTATGTGAATCAACAGTTTAGTCTTATTGTTGAGGAAAAGGTAAAGAAGTACGTGGTAAAGAACTACCAGTTTGTTTAACCGTTCATCTACCGAACAACATTTGTGTAGTTTGTAGTTTTGGGCTATTACGAATAAAGCCACTCATGAACGTCCACGTACAACCAACCTATGCACACCTTTAACCGCCTTACTTCCTAACATACACACTGCAAAGTAACAGAGAATGGAATCTGTTTTTAAAGGATGTAAATGTTCAGTTAAAACCATACATGAACACAGTCAACAAGCTCCTCAAGGAGATTGCCCAGATCCTGGCCAAAATGTAGGATGTTAGTGAGGATGTGGAAGAGAGTTTATGTTTGCATGTGAGGGGTTAAAGAGGGGAGAGGACGGCAAGTCACCCCTCCCCACCACACCCTGCATCCTGTGCCGAAGGGCAAACATTCAGCGTTGTCATTTTCTACTGAATGATTCTTGTGTTTTCTATTTGTTATAGCACAGAGACTAAAACCTAACCTATACTCAAAGTTTGGGAATGTTTGATTATAATTCTGTACTGCTCCAAAGGAAGTTGATTTTGTTCTCTAAGATTTTTTTACTTCTAATATGATCAATTTCACTGATGACCACAACCCACTATAAATGCATGCATACCTGTCAGATTCGAAATTTATTTTAGGCCAACCATGGAATACGCCTGCTACCATTTACAGGGAATTAGAAAAATAAAATAAAATTACTCAATTAAATATGGTGATTATAAATTTCTTTGACCACTGTTGAAAGGTTTTCATCTATGTTCTATGATATGCTTTGGACGATGGTTAAAAAAAAAAAAAAAAAAGGCCTGACCCTTCTGGATGACATGAGCAGGGAAGAGAAGGGTGCGATAAGAAGGTGGCTTACCAACAACAGCTGAGGGCTCAGTCCAGCTGACTCCAGAGTGTGACACATGTCCTCGGTAGAGCTTTCTCCATGCAAACACTTCCAAAAAAAGAAACTGCCTAGTAAAACAAAAGCAAAACGCATTAACCAATGGCTACTTACCATTTGGACTAACATTCTTCCTGAATTGCAATCTAGATCCCCAGAGAAGCAAACCAGCATGAGAGAAAAGAAATTAATGGCTCAATTTCCTTGATTTTAAGGCAGAAGGCATATCGCTACATGTCTAACACTGTCTCTTTAGTCTATGTATTAGCCAGTAACACTTTTATGACATAGAGCCTACATATCCAGAGTATCCTTTCTTCACTGAAAAATATACATGAATTTCTTAGCTTAATTTTAAAACATACTGAACCTTTGAGATGCTATCAACTCCTGCCAGGCTCTCCTCCAGAAGAGGCAGGATTCACAGAGCAGTTAGTTCATCTTTCCACCCACCTAAAGCCACATACTCCTCTTCACTTATCTTCTTTACGTTGACTGCATCTTTCTCACACTCTAAATATTCCAGGAATGTTTTCACGGGTAACACACCATCCTTAGCATCAGAAAATCGGACTGTAGCAGTCCTGGATTTTTCCTCTTTATACTTCTCTAGTAATGCCACGAGCTTAAGCAGTTCTTTTTCATCGAGCCTCAGTAACACAGCCAAGTCCTTAAAAAAATAGGGGGAAAAAAAAAAAGTTTGGATACACCGTATCTTCCTAGGACTCCACCAAAGGAGTCAACCCCATCATATCTGAAATGAAATGCAAAACTGTAAGCAAATGACGACTTGTTAATTAATGTGGTAGCTATAATGTACTCTGCTTAAAATCTTACCACAAATTCATGAATTTGACATTAAGTAATTTGAACTAATCTTGAAACTATATCTGAGAGTACCATTTTTATACAATTTCTTGAGAATACCCTATACCCTTCTAAAATGTTTGAATTTTACTACAGCTGTTATTAATTTAGAATCAGAAAAAAACTGTAAGAGTATTAACTGCAACTCTTGTGATTCTAAGTAAACTAAAGGCCTATTTGAAATGGAATATGTATTGAGCAGCATAAACACAGTAAAATTAAAAAATACTGGAAACCAAGCTTCACTGTATCTACATATACATCTCCTCTGTGTGGCTCTCAGGGATCCAGAGATGGAAAAGTTACAGATATATCTTGCCAGCCTTTCAAATTATTTTTACAGAGCTTATGTGCAAAAATCTCTGATATTACTAATATTTTTCTAAATTAGGGATACACACACACACACACACACACACACACAGATATATACTTAGAAGACCATAAATTCACTGTAGCAAGCAAAACTACCCCCCCACCCCACTACATGATAAAACTACTGTTGTTTAAGAATACAGCTTTCATTTACTTATTTAATGCTGTTTTCTAAAAACAAGTAGTAAACTTGCAGAATGCTATGAACACACACCAACAGTTCAATGCTATACTGAATTTATATATGAGCTTGTATGAACTATGTTCCACAGCAACAAAAATGATTCCAGACTTGAATTTGTTTTATATGCACAAGATTAGCCACTCAGCCTAGAAACTGCCTGTACCTTTTTTTTTTTTTTTGGAAGGATCTAAATAATGTCACAGCAAAATATCAATTCTTACAAAGTGCTTTAAAGGTTAAAAAATAATAAAGAACAATCAGCTAACTTATATTTTAAATTCTGTAATTTTTCTTTAATCTTTCCATATGGTACTGGGGTTATCAAGTGGAAATGAATTCCATAGGGGATTATTAATGACATATACTTAACTTTCTTGGTGAGGTAGGAAAGCTTGGATCTTATGAAAAAGAATCTATGAAATATCAAGGCAATTCTGCAGAGATAATTTAGTCCACCTGAACCTTCTTATTGTTTGAAATGATTTTATACTATTGCTAGAGAGGAAAGAAAAACACAAAGATCCTGAAAAATGGCTTTGTTACTTATAATGGCAATCGCAGAATGTTATGAAGACTGTTAAAATGCTTTATGAAATGCACCTATAATCCCAAGGATAAAAAAGATGTTAGAATGTGTAAGTGGTTTCCAATACAGAGCGAATTTTCTGTTTAAAAATTTTTATTCACGTATGTGTATTTAAAATAAAAGTTGTCTAAGTTAAACGTCCATTAAGTTTCAGATACACCAGGTAATTTTTTAATAAGTATTATCAGTGACTTGACAAATCACTAAAATCATTTACATAATAATTTTCCTTTAGGTAAATGGAAGACATGAACCCTAAGGCAAGCAACCTGTCCACAGTCACATGGTAATCAGGGGAAAGAGAGGACCACCTTTCCCTCTATTCTCTATTATGGAAACTATTTCTCTGTATGAAAAGTAAGAATTTTGCATACATGCCTAGAAATGAGCAGTACCGCACTGTAGGGAAGATTACAAGGCACTGCCATTTTTTAAATGTTTTACAGAATGACAACATAGAACATTTACTAGAATTAAACACTTTCATGTAAGACAGAACTTTTTAAAAGTATTTCATTATGTAGCAGACAAGAGAACAAGCTGTATGAGTTTGTTCACAATGGCACCGCAGAAAAACCAGTGTCTTCTGTTTGGCAAAATCTTTTTTTTTTTTCCTTTAAAGTTTTGCTACTTCAGTAAACTGCATATATTTCAATTGGCAAATCTTGTCCAGTTATGTTGTGAGAAGCAACCTTAGAAAGTGAGTTGAGAGAAACCAAATGCTTCTAGGATAGTGAGAATGGATTAACAATAAACTGCAATATCTTAGCATAAATACTATAAATTTAGTCCTAAGGCACGGAGAGCCAGCAGGAGGTCTTGTAACAAAAAAACATCTTCACCCTTCATAAAAATTCTCAATTATCTACTTCTTTACTAGCAGTTAAAAAATTAAAAATAGGGGTGCCTGGGCAGCTCAGTCCTTAAGAGTCTGTCTTCGGCTCAAGTTACGATCCTGGGGTCCTGGGATCGAGCCCCACATCGGGCTTCCTGCTCAGCGGGGAGCCTGCTTCTCCCTCCCCCACTCCCCTGCTTGCGTTCCCTCTCTCACTGTGTCTCTCCCTGTCTAATAAATAAAATCTTAAAAAAAAAATTAAAAATTAGAAATAGAATATTTCGTATAATGAGGAATAGAATTACTTACATTATCCGAGAATGGCGTATCTGAATGAAAATCAACGGAATTTAACTGACTGACAGACTCATAAAGATGGAGTAATTTCAGTTTATTGGCACAAAACTGTAGCAATCCTTCATCAACAGACTCCAGCTCTGAAAGGTGGAAGAAAAAAATACATTAAAGAGATATATTTAATAGATTCATAAAAAGTTCTTTCTTTCGTTAACATTCACAGTATTATGTACTTCTCTGATGTGCTACGCTATTAAATACTGAGATACTTAAGCTACCACAGATTACTAGGACAAAGATAATTTTTCCATCATGGAAAAAGGTCCCAATTTTAAGTGTCATAAGGCACACTAGTAGTTGGAGGGTGGGGAGAAAAAAAGAAGAAAGAGCTATCTTAGTCTAATATTCAAATTTTTAAAAAATGATCTGAAAACAGCTTTGAAAATATTCTCCCTCACCCCTTAACTCATACGCTGCCTATTCCGCTCACAGACAGAGGACAGATGAACAGAAAGCTGCCTGGCTCTTGTTATCGTGGTGGACAAGGATACCAGAATTCAAGGACAAACTCTGGACTATAACAGATTTATCCTCAAGGGAAGCTGGCAAAGAGACTGAAGTACAACTCTCCTTAACATTCTCCATCAATCGGGCTTTAAAAAAAAAAAAAGAGAGAGAGAGAGAGAGACAGAGAAATACTCTCTATATAATACATTCCTGCATGATAATTTAAGTATCTACCATCTAATATAAAATAACTATTCTTTTAAAAGGCAGGGACTTTATTTACCTCCAAGAATTGGTATAGCTACAATAAAACTTAGCATATTCAGTAGGTGAAATTTTTAGGAACTCAATTTTGGGTAGAACTTGAAACTGGAGATGATTTTATAGAATTCCAATAGTTATATTTGATTTACTCTCAGCCCAGTGCAAGATAAATTCTGATTCAGTAAACTTTGAGATTTTGGTAAAGTCCTGAGGGATGGGGAACTTTATAAGCACACTACGGTTTTTAAAAGAGATATTTCTGGGGCGCCTGGGTGGCTCAGTGGGTTAAAGCCTCTGCCTTCGGCTCGGGTCATGATCTCAGGGTCCTGAGATCGAGCCCCGCATTGGACTCTCTGCTCCGCAGGGAGCCTGCTTCCTCCTCTCTCTGCCTGCCTCTCTGCCTACTTGTGATCTCTGTCTGTCAAATAAATAAATAAAATATTAAAAAAATAATAAAAAAAATAAAAGAGGTATTTCTAACAAGTTGTATACACTAAAGAAATTCCCTATTTTCTAAAAGCCAGCTTTAAATATGTGTTGGGAAAAAAATCTCAATGTTAGGATGCCTAAAGTCTTAAAAGGGGATACTATATCTATTAATTAAACTACTTTTAAGTGGCTTAAATATAAATATAAAGCTGGCTTTATATAATTAACATGACAAGCAAAAAGTCACAGCTAGATGAAGTATGCATATTACACACTACAATTTAATACATGTTAGGTATTCAGAATAAATTGAATTTTGCTGGGTCAGCAGGAAAGAGCATGGAGTTAAAATCCCAGAGTTAGAGATGTAATTCTTTTTCAGACAAATTTTGAACAGTAAAAAACAATCAGCTATGAGTGTAAATTTACTCATAGTCCAATTTTGGAAGTCCTTACTGTTCATGAGGGTAGTGGAGGAGAAAATGCAGATTTTCTGCATACATTAACAGAACATTAATTCAAAGCGTACTTTTTAAAAAATCATTATCTCAGTCAAAACAAAATTATTTAAAGAATGTTTCATCTACAGAAACTGCTTTCCTCCCATAAAGTTAAATAAAAGACAGTGAAAGCAAGAAAATCTTCATGCTGCTGCCTTTCACACACGTACAACTGTATCAAATAACCACTTCTCACCATCCTATACTGGTCTCTTTCACGGTAGAAATATTTTAAAGAGAAATATTTCCAGAAAGAAACAATATATTCAGAGAAGGCTCAGCTGGAGATCAGCTTCATACAGCTACATACAAACAGGGAATAAAAAAGTCTCCAAATACTAAAGGCATGAAATAAGTTTCCTTATTTCTTATAGTATTTCCACACTGAAGTAACATGACGATATCATAAACAGGAATAGTTTTTATAATAAGAATTATAAAATCTGAAGACCAGAACCTCCAATCAGTAAAAACCCCATTACCTTGATTTTTTAAAGTATCCATTAGAGTCTGAGTGATGTTTCTAAGGCAGGAAAATGGTAATCGTTCACTTGCCAAAATGCTTTCCAAGGCCTAGAAGAAAGACATTGAGCAATCAGAAGGCACCGATTTTGTTTTTTAAATTTTGTATTTATGCCGACACCTTCACTACCCCAAATTTCCAAGAGAAGCTCCATAGTGAAGATGTCTTAATAACGTACATACCTGACAAGGAGAGTTGCATCATATATATTATGCAATCAATCTCATCTCGTGCCCCTTATGGTGGAATGGCAAAAAGTCCAGACTCAGAATGAAACAACTACAAGGAAACTGGCATTTAACAGAATGGCCAAGATGAAACAGGGACCATGACAAAAATATTCACCAACAAGAAGAGTGTAAGTCTATACTCACAGCCATAAATGAAAAGCAGAGCTGTTACTATTGTGTCAATGATGAAAGCTAACAACAACTTAATTACCACTTAATGACTGCATTTGAGCATGGCTGGTGAATGTATAGGCCCCGCAAGGTCTATGTTCCCGACCTCACCCCCACTTCCTTTTCCTGCCCTCCCTCAGAAGATACTCAAGAAGCCTTCACTACCAGTTCCAAAATCTCTCTTTATGCCTAAAGAAGCAACCATGAGAATCAACAATGGCTAGACACAGCAGTTAAAGTTCATACTTATCCTTCCGTATTATCCCATTAAACTTTTTATTGATGAGAGTAAATAATTTCAAAAGTAGGCTGAGAATGTAGCATGAGGTAAAGACTGTAACACAACCACCTCTGTGTGTGTAGGGGTGTGTGTGTGTGTATGTGTGTATGTGTGTGGGTAAGAAATTGGCTCCGAGAGTGGCTCAAGAGTGTGGTCAAGCCCATGATGAGGCAACTACATAGTGGATATAAAGAAAGTGACTCAAAAAGGCAAATACCCAGCAAAATGTAATTGTTTCTGTTGTGTCTACCATTATACTAGCTAGCAGCTGGCTTCACCATTTAGTCACTCTTCCAAGCCTAAACTACTGTTTTTTCCTTTAGTGTTGAAAATAATACACAACTTCCACTAACTAGCTTTTCCAGCATTTTTTATAAAATTCTTAGTTTCACATACAATTGAGTAGTATAACTGTTTTTAAAGGTCAAGAAGACAATTTGTAGTATGCTCAATGTTCCCAATTTTGTTGTTTCATGATGTAAGAGAAGAAAGAAGATGGTATCAAAACGGGAAGGCTGGTTTGGGTAATAACCCTCCCTTTCTACGACAGGTTCTCTAAACTACCTTTCTTGGATGCCCGCCTTGTCACAGGAATGTCATCTCATAACTGAGACTTCGCCCTGAGAAAAATGAGAACCAATTAGCCCTGTTAGTGGAATGGAAAACTTGACTAAAAGTCACAGGGACGTGGGTACCTGGGTGGCTCAGTCAGCTAAGTGTCTGACTCTTGATTTCAGCTCAGGTCACGATCTCAAGGTTGTGAGATCGAGCCCCTTGCGGGCTATGCACTGGGCACGGAGCCTGCTTAAGACTGTCTCTCCCTCTCCTTCTGCCCTTCCCCACCCTTCTTCTTTAAAAAAAAAAAAAAAAGTTATGGGGACTTGCCTGTTCTATAATAAAATAAAAGTATTTTTAAAAATGACTGCCACAGTAAACTAAAAAGGGATAAAAAGAAATCAGTATTCCCGAAATTCTCCCACATATCTAACATTATTTTAGTTGTTGTGGATTATGACACTGACGTCTTTGGTGAGGTCCCTACCTGAAAGAGCTTAAAAGAGGTAAAAAGGAAAAAACTGGTGAGCTAGGATTCGGGTACCTGAAATAGTTAGAGACCAGAACAAGTAACCACTAGCTGTCCAGTTCTGACTAAAAGCAGAGTAAGAGTTCAGAGGTATCCACGGGGGCTGAAGTGCCCAAGCATTTACAGAGTGAGAACTTGAGCAGCATTAGGAGGGGTTTGGAGAAGAGGGGGCGAGCCAAAGAAATCACAGCGAGTTGTTGTATCAGAACCACAAACCTGGCAAAAGGCAACAAGTCTGACAATACTATGGGACGCTGAGGCTGTGGGAGCAACAGGCCCCTTCCGCGGTAGGAGCGGGAACATAAACTAGCGCAAGTATTTTGAGAAGCAGCCTTTCAACAACTGGGACAGCCAGAGAAGCCCAGTGCGCTACAATTCCCGAACATAAAGATGTATAGTGCCCTACGTACAAGGATAAGCACGGTATCCCCGGGGAGAGCAAAGACCGGAAACAACCTAAATGCCCACTGGTAGGAGCAGAGTGAGTCAAGAATAACAGAAGACACAGCAGGGTCCACTGCAGCCACACGGGTCAACGGGGACGCCTCGAAGAAACAGCTGAAGGAGTAAAGTCCCGGCAAGGAGACATGAGCAAGACTCCAGTGATGCCAAGTTTTAAACGGCAGAAAATGCATCAGTGTTTTATCGGAGCCATACAGAAATAATATAACTATTAAAAGCAAAAGAGAGAGAAACACAAAATTCTGAATGCTCGTTACCTTAAGAATGGGAGAAGGGGCCTGAGGAGGGACACGGAGGGCTCTTCAGAGTTCTTGGTAACATTCTATGTACTAAGGTGGGCGGTCACACAGATGTGTTCATGATTATTATCTGAGTATATGGTATGTATTGTGTGTGTGTGTGTGTTTCAAACATGCACACGTGTGTACGGTAATGTTACTTAATTTAAAAAAAAGGAGGGAAGGAGAAAGAGAGACAACGGGAGCTTCCATATGGGAATATAAAAAAGGATGCATGAATAAAAAAACGGAAAAGAGGTTAGCCTGTCATGTTTGGAGGGAAAAAGGAAAATAAAGGCTTTCTTAAGAGAAATATGTCCTAGCTACCCAGCAGGAAAGGTCATATATTATACATACTCACTTGTTTCTTGGTTGCGGGGTACTTAATATCAAGAATTAGTTCCTTCATTTGTGTTTCAACCAAATCTACAAAGAGAAAATGAACCAAGGTAAATTTTTCACTTTTATTACAAGGGAAACTTGACTCTGAAAGAAGAATGCACTTATTGGTGGCTATCAGTCAGCTAAAGGACTTCCGGTTTCTCTCACAGTATTGTTTTATTGTTACAAATTTTAATATGGCCCAGAGGGCATGCCTCGTATTTACAGAGCAATTCCAATAAAAAATATACATGATTACTTGGACCTCATCTTACTTTGAGGAGTTTCAACAGCTCAAAAAATGAACGGAAACATTTTGATTGCTGCATTTAGAATACGCTACTAATTGAGAAAATGACCTAGGAGTATGCATTATTATTTTGCTCCAGGACACGCACCGAGGTGGGGAGGTCTTGTTTTCAGCAGGGCGGCCAGCTTCTTCACTAGGTGCATGTCCTTGGCTCGTTCACACTTCTTGTCGCTAAAACGATAAATACAACAAATTCTTACAGAATGTGAAATCGCCTTCCTTCTAAGTCTGACACACTCCAACTCTTTTCCTTCATATTCTTCCTATTTAACTTTAAAGATATCTGTCTAATGAGAAAAAACCACAACAAAATGGTAACTATAAAACAAAGAGCAAAACAAGGGATGGAAAAGTTAGCAGAGGGACCCCGGATGAATCTTACCTCAGCGCTAAATGGAAAGGAACATTGACTGTTTTCACACTTCCAGACACTGGATCAACAAGGCAGATCTGGTAAGTCTGCGGCTGCCAACTCTGACTGGTAACATTATTTAAGCCCATTATTTTATAGCCAGGATACAGAAGCCTGAGGAAATGGCAAACCAGTATGGTAAGAATATTAGACAAAAGGAAAAATGCCAAAAGTGCTTTCATGATAGCGAGGGACCCCTACATAATTACCAATTCAGGAGCACTAATACGGCAAATAAACACTAACTGATATCAAAAGCATAAGTAAAACGGATCCTGACTGGCAGAGTTCTGCCTTGATAAAATGGGCTAGAAAATCAAAGGACAGTCAGGCCTAGGTAGCAACGGCAAACAAAGGCTGCACCTCACTTAACATCATCACCGCAGGAATCTGAAGGAATCTCTCCTTTTAAGCCTCCACCGCATACGTAAGGGTTGGGGATAAATGGCAGCACCACAGGTAACTTTATTAAATTCGGTAGTGTATCATGGCCTTTTCAGTAAGATTTTTTGTTATTAAATACTTAATCCTTAATCATATAGCAGGCGCTTGGAGGGAAAACCATAGTAACACTGCAATTCTCAAACAACTTGCAACCTAATAAGTAGCTTTAATAAAGACTCTAATAAAAGCATTCCTTTTCGTAACCAGGAAAATGCCAGGGTTTGCCACTTACCTGCAGTGCTTTCCCACGTTGAAGGCTCCAACTCTAGGTCCCTGCTGTGTGCTCCACACTTCTAAGATTCCCCTTCTTGGTGCATAGATCACAAGGAACTGAGCTACTCGGCTTGGACCCTGAGTATTTCCAAAAGGGGAAAGATCTGCCTTTTCTGGTACTCTTTCGTGGAGGTCCTCTATGATTTGGATCCAACCGATCTGTGCATCTCGATACCCTTCCAGACCGAGGAAAAGGGAAGCTAATTAGTCTAGGGGCAACTGTAGCCTTCTGAAGGACTCTGGGACATTTCAGCGAGCGTTAAGAAAAGCTACAAAAATACACTATCTTTTTAGTATGAAGTATCTTAAACAGAAAAAGATAATCACCAAGTCTTACTAAATCTTGGCATTTTGTTATATTTGCTTCTGATCACTTCTTATTTAAAAAAAAAACAACACCAAAACAACCAAACAAACAAACAAAAAAAAACAGAGATCACTACAGTTTCATGAGTACCCTTCCACAACGCCATGCTCGTCGCTCCTTCTCTTTAAAAAAATTCTCTCCCTTTAAAAAATCTGGTGGTATTATCAGGTTTAGATTTTAAATAAAAGTCCAATTAAAATATAAGAGAAAGATCAACTTGATTTCCTGCTTTTCAAGTCCCTGGGTGCTATGCAGACAGGGAGAATATGGTGCAAAGTGGCGGCAGGAAGCCGCAGCCCATATGAAAGAGAGGTAGCTGACACTGTCTTCCATCTCAGGGGGGCCCCTTTGACAGGCAACTGACCCTTCTCGTCCGAGTGTGGGGGAAAACTGCTACACCCGCTACAGAAGGAAAAGCAGCAGTGCCAGCAATAAGATCGCTATAGTGGGTCTGGCCCAGCTGGTGTAACTATGTCTTCTACATTCTGGAAAAGTCTTGCTGAGAACCACCCTTCATGTTATTTCAGAAGACAAACACCAATAGAAATGATGTATCTGCAGCATTAAAACCTGTTTCTACAGACACTTAAACATGTAACAGGTAAACGCTGCAGGAATTCTCTGGAAGAAGGTGACAGTGTTCTCTATCTGTCCAGAGTAACTTAATGTCCTCAAATCCATTACTCCTCACATGTCCTCAAATCCATTACTCCTCACACTCCCCCAATGTTCTAACCTATCTGGGAGGCACAGACCAGATTGCATGATTACTGTGGTTTCTAACCAGTAGTCCGTCTGTGCTGACATGTTACTACTCCAGATGATTCCAAAATATGCATTCTCCCCTCTTCCTTGGTCAAAGAGATTTTATCTTTTCAGGTGGACAGTGTGCCTAGATATTACAAGTCTCCCTTATAGATAGGTATGACTATGTGATTAAGTCCTGGCTAATGCACTGCAGAAAAAGCTTGGCAGGAAATCATCTTCACAGTGAACTGGCTCAGTTGATAGTTCCTCCTCTTCCTTTCCTCCTTCCTGGAATGCAGATACAAAGGCTGGAGCTCCAGCAGCCATGTGAACCATGAAATAACTCTGAGTGGGGAACCTCAAGAAGTGGAATTGGGCTCCTGAGGATGTCGTGGGCATATCGTATCAATCCTGAACATGGGTCTTTTATTAGCAGCTAACTACAACTCCTGACCAAGAAACTTAAGAAATTAACCCAAGCATATGGATATGGACGTCATGTCAGCAAAGACGGGTTTTGCCGTCTTTAGTTTGAAAGACTTAGTATTCTAGATTTGAAGAGAACATCTGACTTAAACATGACCTTGTGAAGTAGAATGAATGTAACAGGGGCAAGAAACTGATTTCAGGAATTTGACAATGACAGTGAGAACTGAAAAGTATACAAGGAAGAGATTAAAAGTGCCTATAAGTTGGTCAAACTTAAAGGGCAGATCAATTGGACTATGATCAAGCGCTACTGAAATGAGTTCATGCTTAAAAAAAAAAAAAAAAAAAAAAGGACAGCATAAACAGAACAAATTAAGCAATATTGTCCACCAGAAGCTAACAGATGATAATACTGCTCAACTACTGGGGTAAAAAAGCAAATTAACATTTTTTTTCTGGATTTTTATAAGGAAGTACCTTTCCACATGCGTATTGCAATTCCTCTAGCCACATCCAATAAAATTACTCTGCCAAAATCATCTGTTACTGCTGCCAGTGTGTTACATGGAGACAGACATATACTTTCACCATGGCGTCTAGAATCTGGAAGTCCAAATCTGGTATTTAAAAGAAAATTAAAAGCTCAAATCAAATTCCAGAAAAAGATGACAGAATCATGAGCTGCATAAACAAAATAAGCCAAAGCTGTTTTTATATAAAGAAACATAGGGGCGCCTGGGTGGCTCAGTTGGTTAAAGCCTCTGCCTTCAATTCAGGTCATGATCTCAGGGTCCTGGGATCGAGCCGGGCATCCCTACATCAGGCTCTCCACTCAGCAGGGAGCCTGCTTCCCCCTCTGCCTCTCTGCCTACTTGTGATCTCTGTCTGCTGGGTAGATAAATAAAATCTTTAAAAAAAAAATAAGAAATATAAACCTTGCATAGATTAATAGTTAATTTACTAACTAAGCACACCAGATATTTTGCAACACAAAGTGCATTAAGAAGTTTCTTCCATTATAAAATAAAACACCTAAGTTTTATTTCATAGATTTTCTATATAGATATCTAATCTTTTCTTTTTAGAGACTAGCAAGTATAACAATCTTTCCTTGATTAACTGTTATATCATAGTAAATAGCACCCTCACAACCAATGAAATTTTGGAATACTTTGCTCCTACGCAGGCATCTTTTGTCTGAATTAAGTTCGTATTTCTAATCTCTTCTTTCTGCTAGATATCATATCCTGCTAACATCACTCTATCTACCTGAAGAACTTCCCCTCTTCTAAATACTAAACAATGATAAGGATTATCTCTCAAATGTTGTTGGTCTAGAACCAATCTTACTTTAGCACGGAGCAAAGTTCTGAGATGAGGTACTCCAATGTTCTAACCTATCTGGGAGGCACAGGGCCATCTGGCTTGCTTCTTGATTCTTCAGTGAATTTAGAAAATATGAGATGTTATCAGATTTTTAAAACGATGAAAAAACCTAGAGGATCATCTTCAATAAATTTTAATAACAGATAATTAGTTATACCTCTTAGGTAAAGAACATCTGCAAGCGGGGGATGGTTCTGGTTCCCTTTATGGTAGTATTTTACATTAGGTAACAAAAATGATTTAAAAACAAAATCAAGCAAAAATCACACTCTCTCACCCCAGAACCTGACACATACACTATCCTATAGCACAACCGAAGTGAATAAAAGAGCACAACCCTGCCTTCTGAGGAGTGCCTGAATGCATGGGACTCCTTGTTTTATGTTTTTTAAAAGAAATCACTAAGCACTTTTTAAGTTTATACAGCTTACTGACAAACTATCTCAGCTCTTTAAAAAAATTCAACAGCTCTCCCAAAACAAATTTTCTTGCAACTTAAATTAAGCTAAGGTTATAGGTATTTGGGGAAAAAAGCCCACTTGGCAAATACATACTGAGCACCTCCCACAGGCCGGGGAGGTGGCTGTGAGCCAAACAGGCAAGAACCACCCTCCTCGAGGAGTTCATATCGTGACAGAACCTCGTGACATCGGCGCAGCAGCTAAGGCCCGGAAAGACCAGAAGCTCAACAGCACTCCTGCTAAAACACAGAACTGTGAGAGGAGCGTGACAGACTTGCCTGACAGCCAACGGGGTGGCCGGCTCGACCTTTGGCTTCTGCTTCTGCACAGTTTCTTCCTCGTGCTTGCTTTTCCAACCAAGCCAGCCACTGCACAGAAAGGAAATGGAGAATTAAACCAGCGCTCCTGGCGTTTTAACGTGCAGACGACCAAAACAGTTGTGAAAACCACCCAGGTAACTTTACAGACACACAGATAATACAGGTACTTTTACCCGGAACGGTGCTGGAATTACCTGGCAGCGTTAAATAAAGCAGAAGTGAGTTTACTTGCGACCGCCAGCGCCACGTGAGACAGTAACGGCTGGGTGCTCCCCTGGAAAACAGGACACACCGAAGAGAAAACTCAACAGCAGACAGAGAAACAAAACACGCTTTCTAGGCAAGGCTTACTTTTTAAAACTTATGAAAAGCTGTAAAGCCTGGACTAGCAAAAATATTCAGCATCTTTCAGACCATACGACAAAAGCTTTATCTTAGGAGGTAGCAATAAAATCAAAAGTTTCAACTCTAGAGTTGAACAGTAAAATCGCTAGTCCTCTATTTGTCTCCAGGATTTTCCTCCTTATATTTAATTAACTTAAAAAGTTTAAACTAGGACATTAAGATGGCATTATTCTAGCAGGGCTATGGATTTCCAATCTACAGACAACTGGCTCCTGTCCCTCCTCTTTTTTTAATAAAGTAAAGAGACAGTGTGGATAATTCTGAGAAGGTTGTTTTTTTTAAGCAAGAAATAAGAGACACCAAGTCCAGCACCTAGTGGTCCCCTATTATAGGAGCCAATTTTCACCACTTACAATAACCATAGCTGGCGGCTTTACAATTCGCCATTTCCTCAAATCCCTGGTGGGCCGACATTCACAACCCCGAGCCGCTGAGGACTGCATCAATATTTAAAGACAAATCAACTGTCCAAGAACTTGGGGCATCAGAAACACAGAAGTCTAGTTCTACGCTGACTTTAGTACCTTCTCAGTTCCCCTAAGAATTTAGAGAAAGTCAGCGGAGACTAATTTTAGCTTCCAATGAAACTTAGAAAATGTAAACTGCTGAATCTTTCTAAGGCTAACTCACAATATTCCATTTGTAGAGAAAACCAAGAGAGGCCTCACTCACGATCAGTGAGTACACTATTACCTCTAGTGCATAGAAGAAGCCAGTAAATGGACTGGACCCGACGGTGATGTACTGTGACATGGCAGGTGGACTGTTTTTAATTGCTGCGTTAAATCCCCCTATGTTGGAGGCAGTCTTCATTTGGTCGAAAGGGGACAGAGTCATGATACCTATTTTAACAGCAACAACACGTGAGCAGAATGCACTGAAATGACACTCATTTTAGGTCATTAAATTTTTACATCAATTGTATTCGAAGCCACAAACTGCTTAGTTTTATGTAACAGATAGAAGTCATTTTTAAAATACCAAAAATCAATGTCATAAGCTATTCATAAGATATTAAAAGTGCCATCTATTCCTCTAAGCCATAAAATGCTACAAAAACAAAATTTAAATATTAATTTTTTAACAGATATAAAATTCAAACCGTACAAAAGTATAGTCTGCCTAGATCTCCAGGTTTCAGTCAGTTCTTAGAGGCCCCAACTGAAACAGTCTCTTTTGCTGCTTTCCAGAGATGTTGTACATACATAAATGACAGTGGTTGTGTGATTTATTTAATAATATATCAAGGAGACGTGCCTCATTCTTCTGTATCACTCACCCACTGAACGGCCATACCATAACTGATCTGACCTACTGATGGACATCTAGGTGGCTTCCTATCTTTTGCCATGACAAACAATGCTGCAATTTATATCTCTGATATGTCTTTGTGCACCTATAGAACTCTACCTGTATGGAAAACTCTTAAAGACAGAAGTGTGGGCTCAGAGGGGATCACATTTTTAAATCTTATTTAATACTGTTATATTGCATTCCATAGAGGTGGGGCTAACTCCCCCCAACAAAGTGAGAGAGCATCTCTGCTCCTATACCCTTCCCAACCCAGCAAAAACAAACACTTTTAAACCTTTACTTTGTAGTCCAGAAATCCCCAACTTTTCTAAGGAAGAGTTAACTTATCATTTTCCCCAAGGATCTAAGAGCAAAAGCAGACAGACTGAATGCTGGCACCCACATGCCTATGTGGAGTAGCAGAAGAAAAATCAAGATCATGTATATTCACCTGGGTGGCAGGAAGAGACAGGGGGTGGGGGTAGGTAAGCTTAAGACCTAGGAAGTAAAGACGTACTGCTAATGCCAACCTGTGTGGACTCAGGCGCGCATATGGGACCTGGGTCATCATATGGTCCATGAAGATACCCAGTTGGGAAGTTCTGAACTCAAATATGCTGTAGAATGGAATAAGAGTTATCCTAATTTTCACACATAGGTGTTGCCTCTACTTTGCCTACAAATGGTCAAAAAACACATTGTTCCTGAAGAAGAGTCCTGGGAAAGGAAATACTTTTAGGGAGTTCATGAGCAAACCATTTGCTGGACTCAGGGATTCAACTGTTGCAGAAGCTGGACTGTGTGGAAAGATCAGAATGCCTGGCTCACATTCATGAATGAATTCATGACTCAAAATACAAAATGTTTTTACTGTATGATAAAAATTTGCATAAGTTTTGCCTGACTCTACCAGAATGAAATCAAAGGGTGAATTGTGTGGCATATAAATTGAAATTTAAGCTTTAGAATAACTTCTCTCCATACTCCCACATGCTATACGTGGGAGTATAAATTGCTACAAGCTATCCAGAGGACAATTTCCCAATACGCACCTAAATTTTAAGCAGGTTTATTCTAATTTATTCTAAAGAGACTGCTGATCAGTTCTTTCCATCCTTACCACTGTGATCTTCCCCTTCCCACAATTACAGTCATCCACTGTCAGCGCCCCACACACCTAAGATCCTGTCGTCAACTCTATAGCCTTTGAAACCCTGATTTCAAGCATACCACCTTTTGACAACCACCTCATAGCTTTCCATCTTACTCTACTAACCCTGTAATATTCCACAATTTCATCAAGAGTTTCATTAATCCTACTATTTTTTCACTATCAAGCAATTTCCATGTTCACTCCCCTTCTTATCTGGCCTAGATTTGTGTTCCATCACAATCGTTCTCTTGCAGACACCTACAACTGCCCTGTGTCTCTCTCACACACTCACCTGGCTAAATCCTAACCTGGATGACCTAGACTTTCCGTATTCTCTGCTCTTTACAGCAGAACAGCTGATCATTGCCGGGGAGTGGGCGGGGGGATACATCTGGGTTTCCGAGTAAGGTTCACAAACAATTTTAGTATATGTGCTGCTGAAACGAGCACTAAGGTTCACAAACAAATGGACATCCAAGACCAGCCCCAAATCCTCCTATCCTGCTTGACCCCTCCCTCCAAGCCTCCGTGACACTCCTCTCCCACAGTCTACAGCTGGCTGACTACACCCCCGTGTTATTATCTAACACACTGTCAGGCTCTCTATACTACAACCAAGTGATGGGATCCAGAGGTCTGCTGTCTTCTGAGTCACCAATCTTAGCACTATTTTTCACTGATTTAAGGCAAATGAAGATATAGCTTATTGACAGCCCCTCTTCCTTCTACCATATCCTTCCAATATACACATATTTCAATTTTTTAAATTCACATTCACTGTTTTCATTATTAAGAATGGTGTAAATATTACTTACTGCTGAGACAAGCTACCTACTGTAATTACATTTCCTTAGATGTGAGTTTTTTTAATTTCCTGAACATCTGAGGCCTTTCCACACTTTGAAACACCTTAGTATAAATATTAACATAATTTATATTATAAATTATAATTTACAGTTAAAAATACATATTAAAATATAGTATTTCTATAAACAGAATGCCAATTTGAAATATAATTTATTAAATATTAAACTGCTACTAAGAATTAAATATTATCATTATTAAAATATTCATATTAATTTAAATCTTAATATAAAGTTCCACAAAGTCAAACTCATTGGATGATTTCCTAGGTCCATTATAGTGGCTAAAGAAGGCTTCTTTGACAAAATAATATTTGAGCAGAGACCTGAATGAAGTGAGAGAGAGAGCCCCATGGCTAGCTGAGTAAAATTTTCCAGGCAGAAGGAGCACCAGTTACAAGTGCTCTCAAGCGGGAGGATACTTGGTGCATCTCAGCAACAACAAGGAGATAAGCACCATGGAACACACAGTGGGGCCAGTGGGGGTACTAAAGAAGAGAAGGTAAAACTGAAAAACCAGGCAATGGCAGGCCTGCTATGCTTCTGTCAAGCCTTTGGATTTTATTAGGAATAAGATGAGAAGCCGCTATAAATAACATTTTGTGCAAAAGAGTAACAAAAAATGACTGACATTTCCAAAGGATATTAGCTGCTAACTGGTGAAAAAATTTTAGAGAGGGAAGAAAGGCAGCAGAAAGGCCAGTTAGAATATTTTTTTCTCTCAACAGTTCAGGCAAGACATGATGGTGGCTCAGACCATGGCACTAACAGGGATGGAGATGAGTGGTGGTCAGACAGGAAGAGACAAATGGGAGGCTGGATGAAACACATGAGAAAAAGAGGGGGCAAGGATGACTCAGTCTTTTGATGTGAGCAACACAAGAGATGATATAAAAGAAAAAAGGGGGAACAAGTCTGGGGGAGGAAATCAAGAATTCTGCTTTGGATATGTTAAGTTTGGATATCCAGGTGGACAAAAGTTCAACAGGAGCTGGAGAAAGAATATGAATTTTAAGGAAGCGGTCAAGACTGGACATAAAAATGGAGATGTGTGATCCAGTTAATTGTTCTTGTGTTTCTAATTTTTGAAAGTAGGGGTGGAAATATTTCTCCTTCGACCTACTCCAATCTGGCTTTCATCCTCACTGGTCCACCTAAAGTGCTCATATCATACTCAGTGAAGAGCTCTACGTTGTCAAATCCAACGGACCCTCTCCCTTTCTTGGATTCTATGAAGCATTCCACAGTCAACTGTTCCCACCCAAATTTTTATCAATAATCTGGACTTCTTCCCTAAGCTTTAGACATATATGTCTAACTGCCCACTTGACATCTCCATTTGAATGTATAATTGTGTCAAAAGTTAACCTGGAAAAAATAGAACTCCAATCTGTCTACCTCAAACATCTTCCTTCTCCTTATTCTCATTTTAGTAAAGTCTGATCATCTACTCATTTGCTCAAATTCAGAAAAAAAAAAAAAAAAAAATCCTTAAAATAACAAATTAAAAACTAAGAAATCCTCGAATCTTTCCTTTCTCTTTTCTCAAAAATCCATCCCTCTCCAAGTGCAAAATATGTCTTTATTCCATCTACCCTCTCCAACTCCACTGCTCCCATCATAGGCAAAGCCATCATTCTCCCCTCCTGCAACAAACTCCTTCCTGGTCTCCCTGCCTTTACTTTTTATCTTACAAGCCTCTCTCTAAGCAGCAGGTCAGAAGGATGATTTTAAATATTCCGTATCTAGACTCCATCAATGACATCCACCATACTTAGAACAGAATCCAAACTCCTTACCCTATGTGATCTGACCCTAGTCTACATCTCCAACCTGACTTTGTCCTGTTGATCCTTACATTTACAATCAAGTCATATTGACCTCCTTCCTGTTTCTCAGGATGTCGAGGCCCCCCAGGCCTGTCTCTTTGCTGCTTCCTCTGCCCAGAATGCTCTTCCTACACCTCTTCACATAGCTGGCTCCTTCTCACCCTTCACATCTCAGTGTGAAAGTCACCTCCCCGGAGAGACCTTTCCTCACCAGTCTACCTGATGGTCCTCTCTCTTTACTCTCCATCACAACCCTCTGCCTATTTTCTTCATGATGCATACCAACATTTTAAAATTACCAAATTATTCATTTGGTTGAATCGTTCACTGTGTGTCTCATTACCAGAAAGTAAGCTTCATCAGGGCAGGGTCCTGTCTGCCTTGTATGTCTAGCTCCAATATTAATTAACACCTAGGACATAATATTCATTTATTTGTTGGATGAATTAATCAAAACTTCACATAAAGACGCACATGCAAAATAAAGTACATTGTACTTTTTTAAAAAATCATTTTGTAGGCTGGGAGATAAATGAACAGACTGATCATTTCCATCCAATCATTGTTCTTAGCCCGTTGCAATTTTCTGCAGTTCAGTTAACAGAACAGGGAAGCTACCCTGAACTGCACTCAACTCTTTGGAATTTTGCAGCCAAAAAGTACAGACAGACTAACTGGCTGCCAGTAAAGTGCTGACTGCAGAGTGTTCCACAGAACCGTGCAACAATAAACAAAGAGATCTCTGTGTCAGGTATCTTCTCTCTAACCTGCAGGTTCACACTCCTTCCTTTTCTCCTCACCCACTCCCCGGGGGCCAGTGTATGTCCATGACGTTGACCTCCACTTGGGTTCAGACGATGGGAAGCCTCATCGGCAGATCAAGGACAGAAAGGAAACTGAAGCCAGGACACCTATTTCCCTGTGACATTTGTGCAGAAGTCAACCTGCTCTCAAGGTGCCGATTCTACTCATCATCTCCAAGTTCTGGAACTACTCCAGGCCGTCACCCCATTTGACCTGGGAGTGGTTAACAGCTGGGCTGTTAAGAACCCCCGAGATGCTGTACCATCCCTTACGGTTCTCCTACACCACATCTTCCTAAGTAGTTTCTCTATAAATAAAACGAGTTTCAACTGTCCTATTTCAAGGGTGCCATCTGTCTTCTATTAGAACCCTGATAAAAATGTGTATTTAGCAAAACTGATTGGAAGGCTCTTTAAATACGTTGATTAGAAACAGCTACAGTATAGTTGGTATGATATAATCCTATTTATGAAAAACTATTTCTGTATATAACCATATATATCTATATATATATAAAACACATGCATTTCACATACAAGTCTGTAAGGAGGTTGACCAAAATGCCAATGGTGAGTATCTCTGGAGGTAGGATGAAGGGGTTTTGTTTCCTTTTTTCTTTGTATATTTATGTACTATTTGAATTTTTTAATAAGCATATATTGATAAACAGAAAAAACAATTTTTAAGTAGTATTTTCTTCTCCACTCCCATTTCTACTACCTTCATTCAGAAACTCATCACTTCTTACCAAGATAATTAAAGCTTCCTTACTGTGCCTAGTTTCTAACATTGACCTCTATATTATAGCCTGCAAAAACTTCCACCAAAGTGATTTCTCTAACAGGCTAAGTGATAATACCATCCTCTTGCTTAGAATGCTCCAATGCTCTCAGTGCTGCTAGGAGAAAGATCTAAACTCCTCTGCACAGTACACGAGCCCCTTCAAAATCTAATTCCTATTTACCAGCTTGCTTGCCAGCTGGCCTTAGTGCCCATTAGTTTTACAGCAGACAGTGCACTTCCACTCCCTGGCCCGCGCACAGGTCGACCAGATGCCTTCTCTGTGCGTGTTCTCCTGGTCAAGTCCTACTCATTCTTCCAATGTCAGACTGAAGTCAGCTTCCTGCTCCCTACTTCCCTCAGTGTCAGGGGCTTCTCTGCTCCCACTCCCGCTGGTCCCCTCATCTACTACTATTGTAGTCCTGCAATTGTTTTCACATGTGTCTTCCAACTAAACTCATGTTTCCTGGATGAGACCATGTCTTTTCGTTTCTGTGTTCCCAATGCCCAACAGAGTGAGTTTTCAAATACGCTTGCAAGAAGAAATCTGTTTTTACCTATATTCTGCTGGTCCAGAGATTATATTTTAGAAGACTGATCTATATAGTAATTTCATGGATTAAACTTACCTGCAAAACAATTTTAGACAAATAGTGAAAGACCTAAAACTGTTCGATACTGCTGCTGAAGACATAATTGTTAAAACTCCCACGACTTCTCAAACACATACACCTATGATAATCTGAAAGTCTGGAGTAACTTCCAAATGTCTCACTAAAGGTGATGCATTGTCTTTTCACATAAGAATAAATGTACATTTCTCATAAATGAGACACATCAATTAAAAAGTGAAAGAAATAAATTACATAAAAATTTGAACTGTAATGCTTACCAATACTAGCATGATCAATAATAGTGTCAATATCTTGGAGACCCCATTTCTTATAAGCTAACGGTGGGGGCTGTATGTTCTCATTGCCAGATGCTGCAGCTGTTAAAGACAAAAATCAAACAACCCAAACTTAACTGTAGTGGATGAAGTTTTACAAAAAGCCATTAAAAATGTAATAACTTGTTTACTCTAAAATTTAAATGATAATGAGGAAGGCAATGCAAACAAGGTTAAAGTGAATTTTATTCATGCCAAGACAATACGTGTAAAATGCAAACGTTATGGGTAAGTTGACTGTCACAAAAGATTTTCAGAACATTCACGTAATTGGAGGAGGCTATTAAAAACCCTAGACTATTACTAAAATTTAAGGTGAATTCAAACTGCAAATTGATGACAAAATAAGCAATTTCTTCTCCTGGAGAAAGACAGTGGATAAAATCCTGGGAACAGCTACCAGTGTCTTAACTTGGTGAAAAACTAAAAACCTGATGATACGCCTAGCAGGAGCGCACATCCAGCAAGGTCTCTAAGGCAAGTAACCAAGGCCAGCCTTGATAGATATGTTAACAGCAACAGCATTACCAGAAAGAATGAATAAAACGCCCGTCACTGGGACGCCTGGGTGGCTCAGTTGGTTAAGCGGCTGCCTTCGGCTCAGGTCATGATCCTAGCGTCCTGGGATCGGGTCCCACATCGGGCTCCTTGCTCAGCGGGGAGCCTGCTTCTCCCTCTGCCTCTGCCTGCCACTCTGTCTGCCTGTGCTCATGCTCTCTCTCTCTAACAAATAAATAAATAAAATCTTAAAACAAAAAAAAAAAAAACAAAAAAAAACGCCCATCACTGCTCAGTATTTCTGCCTAGTGAGTAATGAAAAGAAAAAGCAGTATTATACCTCTTGCCACAGGTTCAGGCACAAGGTCCTATTTGTCAGTAAATTCTCAAGCTACATATTAGAATATAGCTGGGGGCGCCTGGGTGGCTGTTAGTGAAGAGTCTGCCTTTGGCTCAGGTCATGACTCCAGGGTCCTGGGATCAAGCCCCTCATCAGACTCCCTGCCTAGCAGGGAGTCTGCCTCTCCCTCTGCCTGCCGCTCCCCCTGCTTGTGCTCAAATTCTCTGTCTCTGACAAAATCGTAAACAACAACAACAAAGAAACACGTAGCATACAAAAAAAAAAAAAAAAGAATACAGCTGGATTTTGGTTACTATTACAGAAAGTAGTACTTTCTGTAATAAGTGAAATATATATTCCTCTAAGCACTTCAGATTTGATAGTAAGGCCAAGAAAAGAGAATTTTCCTACATGCAGAAATAAAAAAGCACAACAATTTCTTGGCTATGCCATCAGAATTCTTTTCAGAGCAACTTACGATAAGAGGGCACTAAATGGCTTACTTCCTTCCTAGAGACAAAATGGCCTTATGGTCTTAGACAGAAAAATAAAGAGGAATTCAAAAATAACAAAAATTAAATGGCTGACAATACCAATTATAATCATCTATTTCTAGTTTATTTCACTGACTGAATTCTTACCTGCAGAAAACTGCCAGTCTCTGTAGGTATATGTATTAATGGTGACTATTTTAAATGACCTCAAGATAATGCTTATTGTGTCTAAATTTAAGTAATTTAAGATTATGAAAATAGGTGTAAATATTTCAAACAAGTTCTGGCCTAAAAGAAAAGTATGTACTATTAAAGGCCCACATAACCAAAACTTCAGGATTTTACCAATCACATCAATCTGCAAACAAAACAAACTTTGTTTTAGGGCCATTAAGGCTGCTCTACCCAAACCCAGAAGAAAAAGAGAAAAGTCTCCACTAATCCTGGTATTTACCCTGGGTTTAATTAAGGCTTTTCTAAAATTGGGATCTTAAAATCGATGACGTGTTTTTCTCCAGCAGCATTTTTGCTGCTTTGTGGTACATAAAATGAGTGCGGCTACAAACAATGGCATCTTGAATTTGATGAAATACAACTCGGTTCTGTATCCTCGTAAGAAGGTCAACTCTGAGTAGTAAGACTAAGAACTCTCGATTATTTGTGCACTTTTCACCAAATTTGGAAATAATGTAGTTGCCCATATACACACTGTTCAGGCCTCCAACTAGTCCATTCAGGAGTGTTCCACGGTAGCAAAAAGCTAGTGTTGACTCCCTATTGCGTACTGCCTACCGGCGGGAAAACTCCCCCGGCACACAGAGGTACCTTTACCCTCAGTGAGGACAGCTGCACTGCAGAATCATGGGATTCTAGTATACCAGCCCGAGAGCTGCTGATCTGGTGAGAAATTTGGTTACCTCCCCCGAACAGGTAGAGAGTGCAGATTTTCAGTGCTTGCCTTTATGTTACTAAGCAATCTACCCAAAAATGCACTCCCATCTCTACGTAGCAGGGTTTTTTTTTTTTTTCTGTAAATCTAGTACACGGGCCTTTTTAATGCAGAGCACATATTTCATTCTGTAAGTAGGTTAGATTAAGTAAGACATTAGAGGTTCGATACATCTTGCCAAAAAATTACCTTTTGCTACCTGATTTCGACAAGCACGAAGAGACTGAAAAAGGCTAAATCCATCAATAGTCACAATGGCAACCGGATATAATATACTCAACTCTTCATTCTATTGAAGAAATAAGAAAGAAGAAAATAATACATTTTCATCATTGCTAAGCAGATCTACTTCTGTAAAAAAGCAATTGACTAGGTATTGCTTTGCATTACTGATTAACTCACTGAAAGGTATTAATAGGAATTAGTCTAGTCTCTTTTCTGAGATTTTCTTCTATAGCTCCAGTCCCCATAACTCCAGGCCATCTCTCATACAATTTAAGTCCACACAGGTACACAATACATGCATCTGTTTACTTGAAACCTTTTGGAAGCAGGATAGTAAAAAGAAGGAATGCATATTTACATAGATTTGATGATGTTTACTGTGAGCCAAAGAAGAGCAGAGTAGTTTTCGTGGCTCTACAATCTTTTTTTTTTTTTACTCTGAGACTATCAACTTCTCACGCAGCACGTGCAAAGTGAAAACTATATTCAGAGAGCCTTACATATGAAACAGCATTCTTTTCTGTCCAAATCTTCAGTTCAGTGCTTCTATTTTCCCCTATAAACAAAAACTTCACCCCCTTTCTGAGAAACAGGTATAGTAATAGTATTAAAAATAAAGCCAGAACTTTTTTCTTTTACTATAAAAATTTGTACACCTAAATCCAAATTAAAAACATATATACCACATCTGTGCCTTAAGTCACTCTCAAGTTCCAAAAGTAAGGAACTCTTTCGGGCTTCTGACTAAAGTGTTTTATTATTCTGTAGAACAAAACGCAGGGTATTTCATTAAATAAGTAAAAGCAAGACTGGGGTTTGCCTCAGTTATAAATAGGTTATATTTCTAGAATATGATAGCAGAGCTAACTATGCTGCAAGACAAAGATACCTTTAAGTTTCCCCAAAAAGAGAGAAAATATGACTTCAAAGTAAAGCCACGGTTCCTCTGAACAGTCATCTACACTACCTGTTCGGTCACGCCAGGGTGTCGTGGGATTTCATGGGTCCTGCACTTCAGCTGTAGGACTGGGTCTTCATTCAAAAGTTGTGCAAGCAAGAGCACACCACTCTAGGAGGAAGCACAGAGAAGACCCCTGCTTGTTTTTTTACCAATAGACCTGAACCAGTATGGCCAGGCAAAGAGTGTCATTTCCCCAACCGTTTTCCATGGAGATCAGATAGTCTCTCAGAAGAATACAGCTTCTTTTCTCTATAGCTTCTACCAGAACTTTCCAGCACATCTTCTCCCCCCGCCCTAAGTCCCTGCTTCTACCCCCATGAAGTAGGTACTCCACATTCCCAAGCAGCCGGTAATGAGTCACAAGAAGGATAATGGGGATGCACGACTAGATATTCCCGTCGAGTGGAGTTTTCTAACTGCTCAACACCCCACTCACCTCAGTGTAGAAGCGCACGTAACCTGAAGTAAAGCCCACCACGATGCAGGTCCAGTCAGGACGCCCTGTGGAACTCCTGTTACAGACAAAATTTATGCTCTTAGTAGCTCATAAACCAAAGCAAAGAAAACAAACAACTTATTTATCCTTACCTCTTTTGGCTTGCTAGTGGGATACATAGAGCACTGGTTACATGTTCTCTAAAAACAAAAACAATATTATAGGCTTATCTAATGAGTTTATCAATTACTTTGATTTCCCTGTAATTTTACATTAAGGGCAACCCGTGGAAGAATGAGCTCTGTGGATCGGTTTTATTCAAGGCATAAGTGAAAATACAGTTAAATGCCACCATAAGTAGAATTATAAATATCATTCACATAAGAGGTGCCTGGGTGGCTCAGCTGGTTAGCCATCTGACTCTCGATTTTTGGCTCAGGTCATGATCTCAGGGTCACGAGATCGAGCCCCACAACAGGCTCCATGTTGAGCACAGAACCTGCTTAAGATTCTCTCTCTCTCCCCCTGCCCCTGCCCTCCCTGGCACATGTTCATGCTTGCTCTCTCCCCTAAAACTAAAAATAAAAAAATCATTCACATAAAAGGTAACATCACATTCACTTGAGGTTAAAAACAGGATTCTTCATTCTGTGTTATAAAAAGCACAAGAGAAAGCAAAAATTTTACCATATACACAACCGATTATATCTCAGAACTGAGAACTAGCGAGTCATCACCAGTCATTTCCTGCAGTTCCCTTTCCTCTGCATCAGCAAGCACGGACTGGGCAGAGCGTGGGAGGAATGTCAGTCACATTACAGGCAAACCATATTCCTGCAAGCACATTATTCTAGGGACGAACTCCATTTCAACTAGTTGGCTTCTTCCTAGATACTTTGCAGAATTTGCCCCAGATAACCCATTTCCAAGCACATGCTCAGCCGGATGTTCCCTAAAAGATTCTTTTTGTGACATGTGGACTCGAAAAATCTGTCAGGATCTCAGAGACTAACCTTCAAAATTAAAATAACTCCTACTGACTGACTTTAATGTAACCTGTCAACCCGCGGGACCCATCACCAGCTTATTTAAGAAACTATAACCACTCCTGCCCTATACATCTTATTAGGCAACCACTGAACAAATCCATCTTTTTGTTTCTTGTCTTTAAAGTAACTGAGCCATTATGTCTGCTTTGCATTTCTGACAGAAATTAAATGTCTTCAAAATGGTTAGACCAAATGACTTAAGAAGAAATGTTATCATTTATTTTGGTAAGAGTAGAAAACCTTTCAGTGAGAGGCTACGATGTGCCAAGCAAGCTATGGGCTTCCATTTGGTTGTCTTTTATCTGAACCCAAAGTCTGAAGTATCTTATTCATTCTCACCATATAGCTTTCAGTCATAAAAATTTAAGTGAAAACAGTTTTGGGTTCCAGGTTCCAGGTTCCAGGTTAGCAGCAACACCACATAATCACACTGAAGAACTACCTTACCGGGTCATTTAGAAACCTGAATTTACCAACTTGCCTTTCTGAAGTATTTATGAGGTTTAAGAATTAATGTAGCACTGTCCCCTTTAGGTACAAGGCCAGTGCTACCCAAGCAGAGAAGACAATGGCTACCTTTGACTTCTTGGCTAAATAAAATTAGTGATGGAGAACACAGGAAATGACAAATTACAGAAAGAATGGGATTCTGTCTGAGTTCTTCTTTAAATCTCCTCTGCAAACAGGAGTTAAAAAAAAAAAAGTAATCACATGAGTAAAATTTAGATTTGCTGGATTAATCAGGCTCTACAACCTCTAAGGTGGGATGAATAGATACTCACTAAATATCCCAGTGATAAAACTTCTCACTTTTAAGTCAAACAATTTCACATACACATATAACGCATAGAGAAACAAAAACTTAACTCGTACCCACCCTTCTTCGACATTTAAAGAACCACTCCAGCCAACAGCAAATTGCATTTCTTCCTTTCCTTTATCGCTGTATTTCCATTTTGCTGAAAAAAGTTATCATATAAAATCACCTTATAGTATACTAAAACAGTGATTTATGAATTTCATGGTTTCCCTTTAGAGTGAGTACAGAATGTAACTATTCTATATTAATGGGTTTGAGTCTTTTTATAGGTAAACACTGAAAAAAATTTTATAAGATTTTAATTAAACTCGACCCAGGCTACTTGCCTTTAGTCTTTCCTTCCACCAATTAAATTCATCTAATGTCCTAGCTCTTGCAGAATAAAGTTGATTCTTATACACCACCCCATCTCCCCATATGTTGTATTTATAAAATGACTTTCATCTTCAGATGACAGAGAACACTTTTCTATTAGATTTATGCTATAGGAGGATAAATCTTTTAGGACCATTCCACAGCATTTAATATATGATCTCATTTTGATCAGTGAGGTTTTTCACATCTTATGTAAACCTTAATTTTAATCTTCTACGCAAATTATATATTGAAAATGCATGCCCCAAATAAGAAACTAGAGTCCTATGAGTTTTCAAATTATAGTTAAAAATCACCTCATTCACATTATTACTAAAAAGGGGTCAGCAGCCTTTTTAGCTCTGACTGCCCCTTGAAAAAATTGGACAAGTCCAGTTTGGCCTCTGATATGCAACAGAACCAGTTAAAGTATCTGCAGTCAAGAAAGAAAAATAGAGAGGAAACAAAGAGAACAGAAAGAAGGAAAGAAATAAGAAACACACAGAAATAAAAAGCGTTATACAGTATGTGAAATATACTATAGAATGCCACCATACAATGCATACAACGTAAGTAACATTTTTCTTTCTACCTAATCCATTTCTTTCCTACTCTATGCATTAAAATAAGGTACACTGAAAATAGTAAGAGTACTTACGCACTAGAAAAACAGCTTTTTGCCCTCGAGCTATAACCATAAGATCATTGGTTGGAGATAAGGATAAAACACAATCTTGCAGCCAGGACGTTTTTTGTGTTTTGCAAGTATTTCCTTCTTCTTCCTGTGGGTAAAACTTCAATTACAGCGTATGAAAAAGTATCAAAAGTATTGCATCTCAGCCTATCTGCCTTGAGGGACAAGGGGGAACAAAAAGGAAAAGGAAATCTTGCCATTTCTTTTTAAAAATCTCAATAATATTCCTTATCAAAACACATTAAAGATGACCAGGAAAGCAAACAGCCACCACAAACTAATCTGTTTTGAATATCAGTGCAAAAAGTTTTTAACATAAGCACATATAAACCAGTAAGACATTAAAAGACTGTCACACAGAGATCATTCCAGGAACATTCACCACTATTAGGAAATTAGAAATTAAATTTCTAATTAAAATTAGAAATTAAAATTTAAAAAGAAATTAAAATTAAAAATTTCTAATTAGGAAATTAGAAAATTAGGAAATTCCAGAGACACTGCTAGGGTATCTGTAGCTACACAGAAAGAAAAAATTATCTGATACTTATGGCTGTAGAATCTATAAAAGTATTTGATAAACTTGATAAATTTTCCTTCATTTGAACTGAAAGATGTTTTCATTTTTAATTGAAAAACTATTTATAAAATAATTACAAAGAGGAAAATCCCCATGGTTAAGAATTCAAGAGATCTAAAAAGGTCTTCTTTGCAAAATCTCCAACTCTAGTACTCTAGTGTCCCAGTTTAGAGACAACCAGTGTGATCGCTGTGTGCTTCCAGGAACACTGTGCACATACAAGCAAATAAGTGACTTTTTTTTCTCTTAACATATATCTTAGACTTCATTCCCCATGAAATTTATTTTTAAAGGTTGCACAGTATTCCGCTGTACAGACACACAATTTATTTAACTAGTCCCCTATTGATGGGCAGGTATGATATATACACTCTTCTGCAGCTACAAATGTCTACACTCTTCTGCTGCTACAAATACTATACAGTGAATAACCTTACACTCTTGTCAATTTGTGTGGGAATATATTAGTGGATAAATTTCTAGAAGTGAAATTGCCAGGTCAAAGGTAACATGTATCAGTAAATTTGCTAGGTATTTCCAAATTGTGCTCCACAGAGGCGGTTTCCATTTATAATCTGATCAGCAAGTTTTGAAAGTGCTTGCTTCCCCACAGACTTTTCAAAAGATGCTTTAATTCTGGACCTTTGTCAATGTAACAGATGAGAAACTGTATCTCAGTATATCTAAGCCTTCTTGTTCATAAGAGGATGACTAGCCTGTTCCTTTCCTTTGCAGATTTCCTGTTGGGTTGCTACTCTTTTTCCTATTTATTTGTATGTATTCTTTACATACAAAGAAAATTGGCCTTTTGAACATAAGAGTTATAATAGATTTTCCCATTCCATGTGATAGCTTAATGTGCTCCATGTAGAAATTTTTTAATGTTATGCAGGTAAATTATTGATCTATTATCTTATGGCTTCTAAGTTTTATGTCATACAGACTCCTACTTTAGCCCTCCCCAGTGGCTCTTAGACTGAATTAAACAGGGGGAGATGAGAAGAGAGGGGAGGAGATGGAGGCTGTCTTCTTTATTTCTTTCATTTACACATTTAAGCTTTCTTAAAATTTAGCAAATAGGAATCAGATTGACCTGGAACCTTCTTCTTAGGCAAGGTGAGCAAGCTAAGGAGGCTGCACACACCCTCTCCTGAAAGAAGAGGAATACTGGAAGAATTCCTTGTCTTACTAAAACTCTTATTTTCCTAAGGAATTAAGTTATCCAGCTTGCTGTTCTTAATGTGTACACCTCTATATATAAATAAGGGAGAAAATTTATCCCGTAAACATAAAACTAGTAAGGTAAAGGTTAATTGTAGTTCATTTCTCCCTGGGCCTATAATTTCTATAGAATATAGCCTCTGTTCAGCCTGCACACACCCAGCATTCCTGATAGTGGCTCAGCTGTGAGCTGAAGGCAACACCGCCCTGGGTTCCCTCTCCAGTAAAAGAGACCGCAGTCGTCCTAACTTTGAGGTTCAGGACTTTCCAAGTGGTTAGAGTAGCTCATGTTCTGGTAGGTAGTGAGAAGCACAGCAAGTTACACAGAGATAGGTAAGTACTGTGTGAAGAAATCAGGGGTGCCTACAACTCTTTGATTATTCTCTGACTTTAAAAATTCCCATCTCAGTGCAATTAAAAAAAAAAAAATCAACACACTGCCCCAGAAAAAGGGTACAGCTCAAATTTTAGCAAGTTCTATACAATCAGGCTTTTTCCTTTTATCACACTTCCAAAACGATATTCAAACAATAGATCCCCCAATTATCTAAAAGTTACTTTCCATTAAAGCACATTATTTGTTTCTGTCCTATGCTTTCAAAATAATGCCACTAACAAGGACTAGATCTACATGCATATGTTTGCTGAAAAGACAAAAAGTAAAAGAAATACAAAGATGTAAGGCATTTAAAGACTGACTGGTTCAAAACCTCATTTTATAGTAAAGAAAACAGAGTCTTGGGGAATTTAAAGATGTGCTTCCTGCCACAGATTCAGTGTCGGAACCCAACCAGAAGCCAAGCCTCCTGACATTTAATTCAGGTGGTCTTTCCACCCTATCACCCTGCTTGTCTTGGCAGGTAGCTGTAACAGCTCCTGGAGAAGCCTGTATTCGCCTGGGATTTGACTCGTCTCATAGTCAGTGAAAGCCTTTTCTCAAAGGATTACCATTACTTACCACTTTATCCCAGGCTAATCTTCCCATAGGACCCTCCTTGAACATGGGAGCCAGTGCATCCTTAAGACATCTGTCCAGGCACTGCTTCAAAAATAACTTTCCCTCTCTTTTCTGTCTTTCTGTCCCAAGTTCCAGTTCCTATCCCTCATCCTAGTCTGACCCTTACCTTCTTTCGAACTTATACAATCAAAAGTCTTAACTCTTCTCTGCTACCTATTTATTTTGTGATTGCAATTTCTCCCACACTAGATGCCAAGCCTTCTAACTGGCCAAGCCTATGCTTGATATTACTCCTCAACTCCACAAGTCCCATAGCCCACTGATACACAGGTGAGCGGAAACAGCATTCCCACATCTCCCTTCTTGTGTTCACAAAGATACTGGAGTAACCTATAATCACTCTTGCATATGAACCTGTATGCCAATGAGCAACCGATTCAAAGCTAGTATCCTTTAATATTACATCCAGTAATAGTATCCTCTGGAGTGTTTTCCCTTAAGTAATACTAAGATTTAGCAGGTCAAGATTCTGGCTGACACACCATGGAAAATACAAGTTACAGAGATGTAAGAAAGGACAAAATACTACCCTCTTAGTTGGGCCTAGAACTCAGCTCTGTCTGCCACCATCCCAACAAATGGACTACACGTGATCCCAGAAGCAAGCATGAATTTTGCCCTGTAAGAACTAACCAAAACAAAAGCATGGGAAACAGAGCACTTACTTGGACACAAATTCAGAGAAACTACTCCACAATCACTGCTTACATGCCTAACCCTGCTTAGCCACCGCATAAATGCACCTTTCTAGTAATATGAAGCCAGAAAGAGAAACTTCATGTGAATTAGCAGTCTACTTTCTGGCATTTCAACCATTTTCAGGTTTACTGGAAGAGGGAGAAAACCGAACTCTGTCACCCCCCACTGCACTTTCTTTTCTATGTCCTCTCTACCTCTCCATCTTTCCTTGGGACAGAGGGACTAAAAGCAGATCTGTCCTGTTTGCCACGGTAAAGTGGGGCATGTCCAAGCAGGAGGTCCGCATTCTCAAAAGAGGTTAGAAAATACCACCATATGATTATATTACATTATCATCATTAGGGCTTGACAGGTCATACAATTCTAGATCTAAAGTCTTGCCACTTGGGGATGATACCAGCTTACCATGAAAGGCAATGGTGGTGAACTGTTAACGCAAGCTCCATAGCTCCTTGGTGCCCACCTGGGGCCAGGGAAGAGGGGGCGTGCACAGGGGGAGCAGCTAGCTACACACCTACCTAGCCACAAGTTCCTGGTCACATGCAAATCCGAACACACTATTCTTTGTGCCTAAAACACAGCACTCAATATATCAGAGTAAAATTAAAACCCTCCAATGATGGTAACCAAAAATAATATCCTTAAAATCATAAACAGAGGTAAAAATGTGTTATTTCACCACAGCAAGTTGTTTCCCCATAAGCTTTATTAGCTATTTTGCCAAACAGTGTAAATTGTGCCAGAATATTAGGAAGTAAATCTGAAAACTGAAATCCATTGGGAGGGTGGGAGAAGAAACACATAGATCCAATTTCTTTCAATAAATCCTCAACCTCAAAAAGAAAAAAGAAAATCCCTGCGTGCATCAGGATGGTACATCAACAATGAGCACGCTGTCTACGAAGGCAAGAAAAGAACAAATGGATGGAAGAGGATGTGTCCTGAATTGTTCTACAGTGTCTGCTGCTTGTGCCCAAGCAGCGTGGTGTGTAGAAATCAGGCCACAGTAGCATGACATCTCTTCTCACGGTAAGGGCATCTTGCCACACCCTCTGGAGTAGAGGACCGCGTTTGGCACGGATGTGACGCTGGGTTTGGTGACCTAACTCAAGGGGAATGAGCAGGCAGGGTACCAGTGATTCGAAAGATGTTCGCTGCAACACTTGCCGAACGCTTACTACTTGCCAGACTCTGTGCTGAGTGCTTGACGCGTAAATCTTAGTTCTCACGGGAGCTCTAGAAAGGTTATGTTAGTCCCCCAGTGTTGAGATGGAGAAACAGATACTTATCAAGATGACCTCCCCCGGGGTGACACAGCTGGGGCAGGGCTATGAACTCAAGCTTCGGAGCTCACCGGGACCACCAGCCCCTGAGCAGCATCCCACTCCACGCCGTGGGCAGCTGGTCCCTCGGAGCGCACCTGGGGATCCTCCGGGTTCTGCTGCTCTCCTCGCAGTTGTCCCTGGGGGTGACCATGTATAACGCCTGCTGCTGTGTGGCCGGAACTATAGGAAGGATGAGAAGCTCCCCTCCACTTGTAGACTAAAAGGCTAGTGCCCCTCTGTGACTGAAGAAGTAAAGA